ATTATAATAATAAATAAGTACTGCCGAAAATGCATATTTATATCGTACCTAGCGTTTAAGAATCTTCGTCTAAGTACCTTTGTTTCATTTGTTACAAAAAAAAAAAAAAAAAAAAAAAAAAATAGTAAAGTTCAAAAAAAACTTTTTTTCTTTTTTTTACCTATTTAAGCCGTTGAGGAACTTGCAGCTTAATTTCTTGATTTTCAAACTACTTATATCTTAGTTTTTCTGTGGTGCTTTCTAGTTTTCAAATAGTTTCTATGAATGAGCGGAAAATAAGCATTCCTGATTGGAAAGCGTGATCCAGTTGTAAAGTCCTTATAAGATTCAGATTTTTAAAATTTTAAATTAAAAATCAGATTTTTTATTATTACTATTGTTTTTTCTGTATTTTCCCCTTTTAAAATTAAAATACAAATATGATTAGAAATGTTTGTTAAAAATTACTTACGCAGAGGTGACATTTCAAATGGACCGAACTTATTTATACTGTGCATCCGTATAATATATTTAAAAGCGTCCGTTGGAGGAATTTCTGAACGAAAAATTTATCGTTATTCAGACCAAATTAAGCAAAAAGCAACCGAGGCACATTTAGAAGGGAGAACTATACTGCCGTGCTAAGGAAAAACGCCGTATGAACGCACAGGCGTTGTCAAATTTCCTTTGATAAAACACGAATTCCCTGGTAAACTTATGAATATTTTTTTTCCAATTTTTCAGATACTTTTGCTCGCAATTTCACCCAAAGTTCCTGAAAATTTCAAGGAAAAATATTCATAAGTGTCCTCAAAAATGAACATTTTATCAAAGGAAATTTGGCAACGGTCGAATGTTAATACGGCGTTCTTCCTTAGCACAGCAGTATAGGCAGATGCGAGTTGTTGCACTTAAACTCAAAAAACTGAGTATAACTTTCGGTTGAAAACTGAATCCACCACAGACTGCTGCGGGAGCTTTCAGCTTGGAGATCCTCGAACTAGATTCAGCGTGGGTTTTTGTCCCTTTCTGCGTAACCATGTCAATTACCCCGATAAAATTTTTCTGTAGGAGACTGCCAGTGACTCGCAGCATGCACATCACAGGCTGGCCACTCTCTTGCTCATCTATACTGTTTAACCAATAATTATTACGCAATTGCAATCAATTACGTAAGCTAGATAAGTTCAGTATGTTAATCTGTTGCGCAATGCGAACAGAAATGCACAATTGGACGTGCGCTAGTGACAAATAGGCGACCGGTCAGTCGTGCGATGCGCCTGATCATGACGGATGATCGATCAGCTTCGCCATAGATCGTTCGAGCTTTTAGTCTACTTTTAACCCGATTTTTTAAATTTAGTTATTGGTTTTATCCATCGATGTTTTTCCATGGCTAGTAGTTGTCGATCAGCGATTCTTGAACTGTTGCAAATGCGTGCACTAGACCTCCACTCGCACTCCATGTCTTCCACTCCACACTGGGAGCGAGTTTGATTACATTCGGCTATTCTGCTGTGCTAAGTAAGAACGGCGTATGAACATTCGAGAGTTGCCAAATTTCCCGTGATAAAACATGCATTTTTGTCGACATTCAGGCATATTTTCCTTTGAAATTTTCAGATATTTTAGATTGAATTGCGTGCAAAAATGTCGAAACGTTTTGGGAAAATACATTCACAATTTTCCTATAATAAATTCGGTTTTTATCAAAGGAACTTGGCAACGTCCGAGGGCTCATACGACGTTTTTCTTTAGCACGGCAGCGTTAAAAACTTTTGTTTTACGTCCATCTTTCCAGCTTTTTTCGCTGATAGAGGGAAGATCAGAAAGGAGCCAACCCACATTTAAAAAAAAAATGGAATTAATAATAATGTTTTTGAGTTCTATCAGCCGTACCTATATTTTTTCCTTCCTAAAACTCCAAGTAGGTAAAAAAAAAAAAAAAAAAAAAAAAAAAAAAAAACACCTAGTTGGTGGAAATAGGGGTTGAAGTATATTTTCTACATTGAGCCTTATGGAGGAATAAAACTTCAAACCTCTTTTTCTCAGTTTCAACTTGGTGGGGGTTGGTTCTTATCTGGTAAAATCGGTCCTGATATTACGCTACGTGTGTCGGTGTGCAGTTAATTTATCATCGAATGAGCAAAGCATCCATCTTTATACTTCCGAGGACAATAATTGAACTTGAAACGATGTACCTGTGCTCATGCTTCGATTACTTAAGAACCGTTAATTGATTTATCACTGCAGAAATAATGTTTGCGGTTTCCATCATTACTTATTTTTAAAAACCGGTTAATTTTGACGATTTAAGTGGAGCCGATTCGATTCCATCAGCGCAGACTACGGAAGTCTTGTTAGCAACACGCGAAGGCTGACGCTAGAGTGAGGCTACCTACCATACTGCCATGCTAAGGAAAAACGCCGTATGAACACTAAAGAGTTGCAAACTTTCCTTCGATAAAATGTTTATTTTTGAGGAAAGTTGTGAATATTTTTCCCTTAAAGTTTCAGAATCTTTAGGTAAAGTTGTGAACAAAATTATCTGAAAAATCGGAAGGAAAATATTCATAAGTTTACCCAGAAATTCGTGTTTCATCAAAGGAAATTTGGCAACGCATGAAGGTTCATACGGCGTTTGTCCTTACGACAGCATAGCGCGGAAATACTTGCGTGAGATGATTGAACTATTCGTACATTAGACTTAATTCACCAGGTTCTTCACCATTCTTCGTTGGTAGGATTCAAACTCATAAAACATAAATTTGTTTGTTTCGGTTGAAATTTGTATCCGCTGATTTTCACGGAAAAATTTTAGTTAAAGCACGGACATCGAGAATTTAAAAAAAAAAAATATATATATTAAACGCAAACTTGAACTTGCGAGGCAGATATATTCCCCTTTCTTAGTGTTTATCCTCATTCTCCTTTGAAAAGTCCCTTCCAGGATATCCGAATTTTTCTCTCTCTTCCATCTTCTAGGATGTCTGGAGCCACTTTAAAAAAATCCGCGTTTTTCCATTACCTTTTCCTTGCTTTTTACTTAGGTATTACTAAAAAAACAAAATAGAATGTCCTCTGATTAAGTTTTCTAAAATCCTTGCTTTTCATTGCCTTATTTTTGCCATGATAACTTGAGGGGAAACGCTAGGTCAGGGGTTCTAAATGAGATCTTTCTCTTGCTTCTATAAGAGTTGACAGGTAAGTACTAGTACTCAAGGAAGTAGATTCATGCTAAGCCATAGTTGTGCTACGCTACATCCGTAAGTAAAAGCTGATTATAAAAATTAAGTTATTTTTTTTTAAAATTAAAAACAAATTTGAATTTACTGATCCCCCAGAGTATTGAAAGAAAACGTTTTCTGAAACACAATTTCAATTGGCTTCTCAGATAAGTATGGTTACATAGGTGCAATAAAGAGACTTTATTAAAGACATGAATACTGAATGCATAATATTCATAGGAGCTAAAGGGGTTTAAAAAGCGTGTTGCTTTGCATAGAAGTCCCTTTTTTTCCAGTCAATTATCATTCACCATGCTTCATTCCTGTAAAGTTTACTCCGTCCCTAGTTCCTCAATAAAATATCTAAGTGTACAATTGCTCTTTTGGACTGGTTCCTGTGACTCTAATTCTTTCGACGAAGGTGGTAAAATTTTATTTCAATCAATTTTCATAAGAAGGAACACACCATAAGAAAAAAGGAGCTTCATTTCTTCATAATTTTTGGGTTACAAAATACAGTAACAACTTGTGCTAGCCCCAGGCCCGCCACATCCCATCTCGGGCCCTGGTACCAATTTTCTGGCCCGGGCCCCTAGCACAGGGGGGGAGAGGGGGGGGCCGAAGGGCCTCCCCCGGGAAATTTTTGAAATTTTAAATCTATTTGGACGCATTATGAAGCTCTTATGATGGAGATTTTCCATCAATTTCTGCAGAATAATTACGCCTTTTTGTTTACTTTCAGCACCAAAAACTTTCGAATTGTTGCATTCAAAACATCTATAAATTATTTTTTGAGGGGGCAGATGATAATTTTCAATTCTATGGGGAGCCGGGCCCCCCTGGACTCCCTTTTCGTACGTCTATGGCAAGGGAGTTAAGCCATTGAAGTCGAGGATGCCCAGAAAGGAGCCTCTTAGCATCCGACAACGGAAGAAAATGAAACACAGTTACTAAAAATATCATTCTACACATACTCAAAATCTTGAAAATCTCTAAAAAAATAAGAAAAATTTTAGAGTGCCCTAGCGTGTTTTTGAAACATTATTCACCTTTTGCGGAATTTTTAGGGTAATTTTTTCACTTTTCCCTACGAGACAAGGGTTACACATGAATTCGTAGTGGTTTGTCACCTGCTTCACGGGCCCCTCCTGGGCCCGGGCCCCGGTACCAGGGACCCAGTATCCCCCCCCTTGTGGCGGGCCTGGCTAGCCCTGCAAAATGGAGCCAACTGAATTTGAAAATTTTGAAATAAGTGAATGAAGAGATCACAAACTAGCATTGCCTGATCTAAGGTATGGCGATTGGGTATTGGAGAATTTGCATGCAAAAATGTATTACTTTATCTGCGAGTGCTTACTGAGGAAGCTAATTTTGCTGTTTTTTTTTACTTCTTCCGATGTGGGAGATTGTAGAGATAAGATTTAGGGAATGCACAGTCTTATACCATCATTGAGTGGCATTTCCCTAATTAAACAAAGCAGATTATCTAGGTAATTTTACCATATCTCCTCCAATAATTGCTCAATTTAAAAAGCGAGGGTATCCTTGTGCTCAGCTAACTCATTCGTTTCCACCAAAACATAGAACTCATCAAATTTCAGAAGCCTTCAAATTCTCTAATGATCTCTTATTCAGATCAGATGACCCAAAGGGAGGTTCAGTAAACAAGTTTATACCTGCCCTTTGGTCAATCTCAAAATTGCCTGGTCAGTGGCCTTATCACGTGTATGGAAAGGCAAGGTGTCACGTGACTGAGTTGAAACATTAAACAATCGATTGCAGAACATTCTGTACCTTCATTGTGTGTTCCTCCACCGGCGAATATAGTGTTTGAGTGCACATGGCCATCCTGGTGAATTAACACATGATCCAATTCACTCACTAGTTTACACTTGTCGCGATCACTTTCCCAACCTTGTTTGAAACACTTGGCACATTGATAGCACAGTGCCCACGCATGCTCTTCACTGATGGGAGCGTTGAAGGAAATAAGGATATCCGAAAGCGAAACACACTTGTTTTGATCTAATTTGCACTTTTTCGGTCGCACTTGGACATCCCCGGCCATTATCACTTGTTGGGATCGCACATTAATCCGAGCTGAATCCGGGGCATCAAACGGAGAACGACACACTGGTTGTTGCTTTTAACGTCACGATAGAATACGAAAGGCTCCTAAAACGCGCACACTGACTATGAAAAATTAACGAGTAATTCCGACAAACAGTGAAATCGTGCGGTTTAGTTGCTTATCGACGCAGCGTGGTTGTCCTCGCGAACGGTTGTAAACAAACTGAATTCGCCGATCAGCTGCATGGAGCAGCGCACAGCGTCTACGCTAGCGCGCTCTCGCGAAGATTTGTTGAACTGCTCGCTCGCCCGCTGGTCAAGGTCTTACGACGAGCGCGTGATTTGAAATTGCGGGCACTCGCCGGAGGTGCGCTTCCTTAACCCCCTCCCGCCATAGCATCGCTTTCACGTATTTCGCCTTCCCCAGTGGCAATAACTAAGACATTTTTCAAAAACTTTTATAAATACGATCTGTCAGAACGCACTTTTTGGTTTCTCTTTTGAGTAATACTCAAGTCCAGTAAAAACGCAAAAGCCTTTCCGAAAAATAACGCCTTTAACAATTTTGTCAAACATTTTCAGGGTTAAAAAACTATGGGTGATCTCTTAAGGTTTTTTTCATATTGAGTTGAATTTCACCTCCCCTTAATTTAACAAAAAAAAGTGCCCAAAAAGAATTCCCTGAAACAAACATTTTAATAGTTTTTTTTCTTTAAGAGTTATCCTTTTCAAATACCTGTATGAGGTAAAAAAAAAAAATTGTAAGCCGTCGGTACTAGGTTCATAATAAGGTAGAGAAGGAGAATCGCACATTGTAGGTTGAACAACACCTCTTGTGATACCTCCATCCTTTAAAAATGTATTGACTGGAATCGAAATAGGAGGAATATTTTTTCGACTGGAGAGCCTCTTTCCACCGTAATATTTAACTTTTTCAGCAATAACTAACCATCAGCTCAAATCAATTCGAATTTTCTGGGAACGCAATTTAAAATTACCCTGCGCTCTTAAAATGACTATGATTTCGAGATATGTTGTCTAAGCAAACCGTTATTTATGAAAATAAATTTTTGCAGAAAATGTGTAGAGTGTTAGGACGCGGTGTTTCAATGGATACGACCAATGAATTGCTGAGTTTGAAAAATGTAAGTAATTTTTACCACTGAACCCGAAAATAGCGGTGGTTTTTTTTCTGTCAACCGGCAGTTTTTTTCACGCTAAAAAAAAGAGTTACAATTTTATACATTCTTTACGGCTACGAAAGTGAAATAAACTGCTCACAGCTAGTCTTGTAAAGCACTGGAGAGAGTTTGATGTCTCAAAATCTGCTTTTTCGACCCAATTCAATAAAATCGCTGTCTCCGTGGATGTTCCGCAGATGGACTTTACAACATTTTTTTCCTCGTCAAATCAACTCATTTTTCATGGAAAATGCTTTGATTATTTTATAAAAAATCAAGTATGAATTGAGGAGCTTGGAGGACAAGGCGCATAAGTACAGTTCTTGCTACTTCGAGAGAGACCTGTTTGAGGTTTCAAAATTACATGGATCCTTATAGCGGAAAGAAAGTTCGAACTGACTTTTTGATGCTTAAAAATTGAATTGGGGAGCAAATTTTTCTCAGAATCATTTATGTATAGGCTCCGCAAGACCTCCTAAATTTGCATATCTGGTAACGCATAGGTAGTTCCAGCGTTCTACCGGACCGAGTTTCTTGATTTTTGCGGCTATCGACAGGTTTTTGCGGCTATCGACAGGCAATTGTCTCTCGATGAGCCCACTTTATTCAGATTTTGAAAATATGACCCGGTTTTTTTACATTACGCGGTGAAGTTGCGAATTCTCCCATTTAAACAACGTAAATTTTTATTTTTTGTCATAGTTCGTTTGAGCGTTCTACTGGGCCGATTTCCATGATTTTTGCGGTTATCGACAGGTGATAGTCCCTAGATGAGCCCGCTGTAATTAGATTTTGGAATTATGACCCAGATTTCTTATTATAATTGAGTATACCTAGGAGCTTAGAAATGGGGCAAAATTTGAATTACTGGCTTATTAATATCTCAATTTTTTCAAAAACTGCTCTTTAAATGCGCTTTGTCCTCTAAGCCCCAGGGCCGGATTAAGGGGGTAGCCACATGGGCCGCGGCCCACGGCGGCAAATCTAGAGGGCGGCAAATTTTGCAATTTTTTTAAATGTAGGTATAAAAAAATATCGGATTTAGAAAAAAAAAATTACAAACGAGAAAAGGCGACAACATCTCTCATTTCCTGAGAGTATAGTAATTTTTAATTTTGTCGTCTTTCAGTGATACAAGAGACATCACCTTTAAGTAGTCGAGTTAAGAGAGAAACCAAACACGCAATTTGGCCTGAAACGGTGCGGCGCAGAGAGCAATGATGACGAGGACTTGAGATGAAAAGGAGATGCCCTCGGCGCGGCGATCGGTATGTAACACATATTAGTGCCTACAAGACTGCACGAATACTTCACGCATTGCATCAAACACAATGCGGTTGTTGTGGTCAGCGTGAAACGGATAGCGCCTACAAGAATGCATGAATACTTCACACATTGCGCTAAATGCAGTGCGGTCAGCGTGAAACGCATGGCGCCTACAAGACTGCGTGAATACTTCACGCATTGCGCCAAACACGGTGCGGTCTGCGCGGCACGGCGGCGGAAGTTATAATCATTAAACCACATTCATGTTTGTTCTTTCAAAATTTTTTGTTCATTTCTTATGAATGAAAGGCCTTGGCCACACAGAGATAGGTTTACTAAACTTAACTTTTGCTACTAGTGTTGACAGGGCATTCCCAAAACATGTGTTCAACACGAGTAAACGCGTCTTATGCACCCCTCCCCCGCTGGCAAGTTCACTTGATGGTTTTTATTGATGTTTCAATACGAATGAGAAGGAGGCGGCAACATACAGGCGGCTCATGGGCGGCAAGTAGGTAAATCTAACCCTGCTAAGCCCCTCAATTGAAATTTTGTGGATGAATTAAAATTGAAGTTTCCCTGTTCTCTCCTGATTGAAAAAGAGATAAACTCTGAGGTTCTGATAAATTTAAAACGATTATCCCTTTAAAAAAAAAAACAAAAAAACTGTCCTGTTTTTCCATGCTGCATTTTAAATGTATTGCTGATAAAAACAGAAAACCCTGTAGGTAACCCTATTCAACGAGGCAAACTTCCTGAAACTTTTGTTCTAATGAGACAGAACAATTTTTTTTATCCTATTATGACAACACGCATTATTTTTATTGACTGTCTGAGGATGTTCCAACAAAGTTTACGTGAAGATCTCCGTAAATTTATACTCCTTAAAAATAAAGCAAGAGCAAAGATTCTGAACTATCCCAACATAATTCTTCGTTAAAATCATGACCGATGAAAGAATCATTATGTGGCCAGAAATATACCACAAGAAGTTAACAACTCCTAAAAATTGTTCCTGAAAATTGCCTTTCATGGGAAAAAGTTGAAGGTAATGGGGCAGAAGATTAAGTGGCTTTATGCAACACCTTTGGAGAGAACCATCAGCCGATTTTACCTGAATATCTTTGAAGGAGAAAAAAAGGAATAATGAGAAGATATTGATGTAATGATGAATTCAAAGTGTCTATACTTTAAAATTAAATAAAAATATTACAATTTGAAAGAATACAAACATCAGGATGAAAATTACAAAGAAATGCTGCTAATTTTACAAAACCTTGGAGGCTACTTATAAAATGGACATAAATGAGAAAAAATTGAATTAAAAAGCAAATAACAAAGTAAATGTGAAATGCCCAACGACTTAGTGATTCTGAAAAAGCATTCATCACCTAACTATTCTAATATCAGAGGATAGCACCTGCAAACATTGATTTACCTAGCTTTGTTCATTGTTTCATGGGATACTAATAAAGCTTCATAATTATTGTGAGGCAAAAGAAAAAAGAGGGCATGTAATGAAAACAGATCAAGAAAATTTAAGAGGTAAAATTAATAGATGATAACGAAAACACAATATTTTATGTATTAATAATAAAGATGATCAATAGATAATTTATGAAGATGGTGGCTACTACAGCTATGAAATTAACAGTAAAGACATGCGTCATAAAAACATCTAGATATCATTAAACAAAAGAATAGTTGTTGAGACATGCTTGATTGAATACAATTTTAAGAAGAGGAGAAATGAAAACACAAGTTAGAGAAAAGGTAGGTTTTAGAATAATAAAAATAAGCCGTTGCCCAAAACTATATAACAAAACGCTACCTTAATTAATTATGAGAATATACCGATTGATGAAATAATTGCCAGCAGTTTGATTATTGAAATTTTTAGATTAAGAGAAAGCCAACAGAAAGATCTAAAACTTGGCGGAAATTGAAAGGCATCATTGGTTTGTCAGACTTAAAATAATTAAAAGGAGGGATATTGAAAAGGGCTATTTTTGGGCCCACCCTGGCTTCATTTCCTCAACTCTACGATTTTTTCATCATTGGAGGTCTGTGCGTTACGAACGGCGTCTTGATTTGGTCATTTCTGGTGTCTTCCATGTCCAGTTCTAGCATAATCATGGGTGTAAGAGTCGATTTTGGTGAAAAATGCGGCGTTTTCGATCTCAAATCTGTAAAACTCGCATTTACCACCAAAATCGGCCTTTGGACCCATGGTAAGGCTAGTAGGAGACCAAAAATGACCAAAAATCATAGAGATGAGAAAATTCCGGGTGGGCCCAAAAACCGCCATTATCGATACTTGTAGCTGTGCTCTCAAGCAAAGATACTACGTATTTGAATTAAATTTGAGAGGATCACATGGAATAAGCAATCAGTGATGTCGCTCACCTTTGATTTTAAATAATATCCTGATACAGAATTGAACTAAAAGTTTTAATAATCATCCTACAGCTTATGATGGGGTAAAATTATCTTTGTGCTGTATGAAAATGTTTCAAAGTCTGATCTTTTGCAGCAAGAACGCATAATGTGGACAAGACATCAATTTGAAATCCTGCGTCCATATCAGAAGGGGAGGGAGAGAGAGAGAGACAGAAAAACATCCACTCAAATAAATAATAAAATAAGGTAAAACTAAATAGAATACATTCAAAAAAGAGTAAAATAATAAGTCCCTAAAAATGCATTTTGTTATCTTTCTACCATAAAAATTTCAGTCAAAAATGCTCTACAACGTTCATTATAAAAATAAAAAAAAAAGATAAATATTGAATTAAATGAGCTGGCCTTAAATTTGTAAGTCTGTAATAAGGCTCTGTGATACGAAAACATCTAGAAAAAGTATAAAATAGGTAGTACAATAATTTACAGAAACGCTACTTTAGCCGAGAAACTCTCACTCAAAACAATCATTCTATGAGTAAAAATTAATTTCAGGTGAATGTAAGAAGGAAAGCCAGTTAATAATGTATCTTATTAAAATGACAATGAAAAATAATTGATCTTAAGAATACCTACAAAGAATACAGTGCCTATAAAAAATCATGTTTCGAAAAATTAACTTTCCCAGTGTGTGTTAGTTGTTAACTCAGGGTTTGAATAGGTACATGGCTCAATGATAGGGCAATGTTGGTGATATGCGATATTTTGCTGGGGCAGGAGTAGTGGTGCGGAAAGTGCGGAGGCTGTCTTCATTGAACATAAGAAAGTAACCCAAATTATTTTTGATGAGTTATACCATCATTCTTATAGGTAGTTATTTAAAGACTCATCTCTCCTTACTCTCGCATCTCTTTGTGTCTTCAAAACCAGCGAATTTTTGTCTTCCGCACAAAGGGATGTATCTTGATTACTCTACTTTAATATTTCTTACTTATATTTCATTTGTTTACATAGGAGAGCCATCAAACACATTTCTCTGAAATTTCTAGTCATTTTTCTTTACTCTTGGGAAAAAAGATTCTGAAATTTCCCGTGAAAAAATGTTTGTGGGAATACTGATGATGCGCAGGCAAAGTACAAGGCCTTCCATTGTATTAATAAATTTCTACAAAAATACTAGTGTTATTACCGGACTTGTACCAGATCATCAATGGTCCATCGTGTACCAATCTTTAAGCATTTTCTTAAGTGCACTAGTTTACATTGAACAAATCACCCATTAAATTATTCATTTACAGTGTAAGTTTTGAAAAATCTTTAACCTTCAACAACCTTCTTTTTTGGATTCAACATATGAATTTGTTACTTTCCAATTCATTTACGGGCACTATCACAAATTAAATAAGAAGTGAATAAAAAATTGAATACAGTACATAAAAATTAAATTAACAAGAAAGATTATTCTATTCAATCCTCAATCAATCTTCATATTAAGAAATATATCCGTTTTATCTCAAGAGCAGAATCAAAATATTGATAGAAAATTATAAAATGATGTATTCCTCAAATTTATGAAAGGAACATCGATACAAATTAATTATGGATAGGAATTATTATGGATACAAGTTTTACACAATAACCTTTCACAATGATAACATGAAAAAAAAAACAAGGATGAATATATAGGAAACTAGGCTAAAAATACACGAAAAAACACCAAGACATTTGGACTCAGAACTGAGCCGAAACATCTCGGTGTTTTATTTCGTATTTTTAGCCTTGTTTCCCGTTTTCCCCCTTGTATTTTCATGGAATCATCATGAATATATGTTCATAAATGTTAATATTACATAGATGTTCATATTTTTTCTTCCATGATAAATTCTAAAAGAAGGTCCCTCAGAAAAATTTTGAATGTAGAAGGAAAAGCAAAAAAGTTTAGTGAAGTCACTGACTTTTGAAAACAAAAATTTTACTCAAAGGATGAATGCTAATATCAATTATAGTAATAAGGTTCAATTTACGTAAGACTATAAAAATAAAACTACATAACAATAAAGAGTAGTTTGACTTATAAAACATCATTGTATGAAAAAAAGTATAAATAAAGATAACTAAATTAAGCATAAAATAGACAGTTTAATTCATTGATCTAAATAATGACCCTAAGAGCTCAATAAGTGTATGTATAACTGCGTTTTATTATAAAATCTTAATATGTGATAAAAAGCACTAATTTTTCATGGATTTTGAATTAAAGATTAAACTGATGGATGGAAGTATTGAAACCTCTCAGACATTTCCTCCCCAACATATGTAGGCACAATTTAGGTACTCCTTGTCTATAAAATAACCTCAGCTATGTGATTTAAAGACCTTCAGGGTAGAGGAACAAGAAGGCAATGAGAAGTATACTGTTAGGTTAGAAATACTCAAAGGTAGTCTAAAAATTACTCACTCTTAATGAGAAAGTTAAACAAGAATGTGAAAAATAGAATTGCAAATCATAATCGAAATTGTTTTTATTTCGTCGATAAAATAATGAAAGAAAGATGAAAAGACAAAAAAATATTAATAACAAACCTTTAGACAGTTTCTTGCTCCCACAAAAATATTACATATTTAAAATTTCTCTGATTTGGAAAATTATACTTGAAAGCAAGTAATATGTAAAATAACTGATCAGTGAGGTCATGGGGACAAAAATGTGAACAGTGAAAAAGATGCAGAGCCGTACAGAAAATTACCATGAGAAAAAAGAAAGTTTTTTAAACTGCCACAAAAAAGTCATCTGACAGTAAACAGTATTAAAAATGTCAATTCACCTTCAGTGATGGATATTCAATGGAGAGGGTAGGAAAAGAATTGAAATTAAATTTAAGCTAGTTAGATAAATTATGTTATTAAAATCCAATGTGTAATTCACCGTACGTAGATTGATCAGTTCTCCGAGGCTTTCTTCAGGGACCACAGTGGATCTATTTGACTAAGGGGATCACTCTCTTGACCGGATGATGTTATTAATCCTGTATTTTTGAAAACTTCTTCATTTCTTCTTCTATTTTCTTCCGAACTGACAGCGCGAATGCTCTCTTGTTCTTTTGCGACATTTGATGTACTGCTTGATGGTGTAGCCACTGTTTGGTTGGAAGAATCTGTTCAGGGGCAAAAATTTAAAACTTGCTTCAGCCAAAGATTACAATTTAAATAAATACTTTACATACTGGACACAATATCAATGATTCAGAATTTTTCCTCTATATTATGTTAGTAATCGTTAGCACCAAAACGATTTTCTTGCATCATTGAGGAAAAGTTAATGTAGGTATGCTCTTTCGTGCAATGTTATTTCATATCGTACTGTTGCTCCTGATCTTCCTTAATACGTTAACTACCACAGTTTGCCTCATAATTTTTAGCAAGTTAAGAGGAGCTAAAAACTTGCAAGTTTGACGGATATTGCTCGAAGGCAGTGGAACTGTCATCTCTCGGTTACAGGTGTAACGAGGGTGTTCAGATATGCGATGATGGTGTGCTCTCTCCACTTAGTGGAAATGGTTTAAGAATGGCTTCCATAAGTGCCGGTGCTAAGGACTGATCTGGCAGTTGACGTATTAGTATGTATTAATTGAACACAGACTTTTCATTTTCAAGTCAAACTGCATCAAACTCGCAAGGAGGAGGCCCTTAATGTTCGTCCTCGTTTAAATGGAATTTTGTGAAAGCGTAGTCCTGAGGTAATTAAAGCACGTGGTCTAATTATTCCTATTACTACACTGGACCTTAGAAGAGCCACAGCAAATTTTTAAAAACAGTATGAAAGAAGAGCAACTCATTCTGTGATTTTGATTGCTGAGCAAGGAGAATTTAAAAAATTAAGTTGGCAGCATTTGGGGTGATCTAAATTTTTCTCCAGTGTTCGAAACTCACCTTTGAGTTTTAGAAGTCATGTGGCGCATCAAGTCCGATTTTTAGGCGCCATTGAAAATTTTTTAGGGGCCAAATTGACTTTTTACCGATATATTATGGCGCATTTAGTGATAAGTTAGACGCAAGATGTTTTCGTAATAGAACTAGTAAGTAGCTGTAACTTGGGGAAGACAAAAGCACTAAGAATGAAATCGTGGAGAATAGAAAAAGCTTGTTTTTCTTTCTTTCGGTGCTTCCTATGAAAATCCAGATTTTTAAGAATTTTTAGGGGCCATGTTGGCGCAGAGCCTTCATCTTTTAGGCGCATTTGGCGCATTGGCGCCTGTGAGTTTCAAACACTGCTCACGTGTGATTTTTTAACAGAAAACAGCACCCTGATACTTTAAGAATATCGTCGTTTATTATTCAGAACATACTCCTAAAATTGTAAGGCAGAATGGTGCACGGTTTTCTGTAAAGAAAATGAAGCATAAGAAAAATTCCAGCAATATCTTAAGTAGTTTGGCTCATTTTGTTTGAAGCCATTCGAATTTGTAATGATGGAATGTCATACCTGAACTACTTGTCAAAGCTGCAGGTTCTGTTTCTTTCACACCTTTGGGGAGGTTCATTAAGAAATCTTCAGATGGGTGCCTAGTATGAGATTTACGTTTTTCTTCGAAACTAGATTTTGTTGTTAAAATACCACCTGAAAAAATTGAGATCAAGATTTACAGTTCTTTTGATTCAAATTAAGGCTGAAGAAGATAAAAAATACATTTGTAAAATATTTTAAAAATGAAAAAAAAAAAATAATGTTACCTGGTAGAACAAAAGGAGAGAGAGAATTTTCTGTTCCTTGACTTTCTCTTTACCAAATATTACCTTAATGCATCAAGCATTATTGAAACAATGTACACTTCATTACTGATTGCAGAATCAGAGTGCTGAGCAAATTGTTCCCTTGATATATTATATTTCTGATTTGATATTTACGTACATGTGGGATTTTGAAGAGCATGACTTTCTGACTAGCAATCACACAATGTTTGGAGGCTTTTCAACAAACAAACAAAAATTGTGAGAAGAAAAGAGAGAAAGAAGAGGGAACTTTTAAGGCATTTGCTCTGGAGCAATATCCTCTTTTATTACTAATGGTAAAGATATCCTTCTTGGAATAAAACCAGCGATCTTGATGAAACGCGGATGAAAATAAAAGAAAACAAGGAAAACTTACGTTTCATCAGTAAATCTTGAGCATAATATAAAATTGTTTGATAGGCAAATTTTAAGTGTTCTCGGTCTCGTAGACAATTTTTCCTTGACAAAGACATTTTGCCAGCTAGATTGATCAAATCCGGAATTCCTTGACCAGAGTTGATTTCAGCAATTGCAGCCAATACTAAGAGGAACAGTCCGGAGCGACCAACTCCAGACAAACAGTGAATAACAACACAATGAGCCAAGTTTCGTTGCTGCCGATACAAACTCAGACACTCGCATACCACTGATAGGAAAGGACCTGGTGATGGGGGGAAAGAGCTGTAACAGTCAAGGAATTGATATGTGATCAGCGGTTATTTATACATTAATGTGCAATTTCTGTTCTTCGCTCAGTGACACATTTTGAAGAAACAAACTTAGCTTACTATCTTCATATTTTAATTTTCATTACTAATACATTAATAGTTCTTTCTACATTGTTGTTTTAAACAGCCTCTGCATAATTGGCCGCTGAAAAAGCCTACGGTATCTGATCAAAAAATTAACGTACCAGGACGTGTCTGGGAATAGTCATTAATTGTATTATTTATAGTTGTACTATAAACTTATGTTTCACCGGCAAATGACAATCCAAAAAATTTTGGGTTAGAGATAATTCGGACTTAGAAATTTAGAGGCATTTCCTTACCTGCCAGGCCAACTGGTCAATTGGAGGTGAATAATGTTCCTTGAAGCTTTCTGTTGATCACTGATCTGTATGATACGCTCTATCCATTGATTTCTGTTGTTGCAACTTTGGAGTGTTAATTTTAAACGACCAAAACTGAGATCTGCGCCTTTCTCGACCGGCCAATAAATTTGATTTTCCAGCTGTCCATAATAAAATAAATTGAGAAAATTAACAACAACCAAATTTTAGATTATGATACGGAATTTTTTAAAATGGGATGGGAAGGAGTAAAGGGTCACACATTTTGTAAAGGGCCATTCTTCTCGGAGTGGACCACTTTCTTTAGGCGGAAAAAGGTAACACTGTTACTTTAAACTCTAATGCATAGTTGTGATGGTGACAGTTCGTCATCTTCAAAATGACACTGGCAATCGTAAAAATTCTATTGAAAAGAAGTGTTTTTGCCGACTTCTGTGTCATAAGATAGAGCAAAAGGCTGCAAATAACTAACATACATGCTTACGATTGGTGGAACAAAAAGCTGCACATTTTTATCCCCATTTTAGTGAATGGGAAAAATATTGAAAGGTTTCTTAATATCAAATTAATCATCTTGATAAATACTCTTATAAATCGATTATGGGTATGCTATTTTCCGAAAACAGCAAAAAACTGGTTCCTCTCTATTGGAATCAGTTCCATTATCCATGTTAAACCAATTCAAAAGCCTACAACATATGGTCAAAGATCAACCTGAATGGATGAAGTGCTAATGTGATGTGTTAGTCAATTTACAAGAGTACGCTATAAATAACTATTCAGACTGGTTAATTTAGAAAATAATTTCTGTAAGTCTTCTTTCATTTTTGGAGTGATTGATTTAGGTGCATTGAAATGATCTTCAGCTTTAAGTGTAGTTGAAAATTTAAAATCCAAGGCTCAATAAAAGTAAAAATTAGAATTACCTCTGAGTCTGTCTGTAAACAAACAATTAGCTCAACTTGCTGTTCCCAGATCATTGTCCAAAAATCTGAATATGTCGCTGGAAGAGGTGCTTGCGTTAGAATTGCTGGCGGACAAAGTGAGGATATATTTTGAATGAATGAAGCATTAATGTAGTCATCTTTGGTAGATGGCAATTCTACTCGAGTGGTGTCATACGGTAAAATGTCCGGGAATCTATTTTTCATTGGATAGCATCGTGCAACAGATATACTTTGTTTTGCTACATTTTTTTCCTGTGAAAATAATAATGATAAATTAGTAAATTGGAGAAAAAGGGCACAATTACGGAAGGAAAGATAAAAAGTAATCTTGAAAAAATTTGACAAGGTTTGATTCTCGTAAAGGGATATGATTTGAAAATGAAGTTCCTCATAATACAATGCCCAAAAGGGCTTCAAGACTCATACAGATTATTTATGCATCATATTCAGCAGTACAAAACCCTTCAATGCAGCCAAGGTGTAATTACAAAAAATGGGCCTGTTGCAAACTTTTCCTGCGGCAAAAATAAGAGTTATTTCCTATATCGGCAAAGTCTGAAATGCGCTCATAACTTCACAATCTGCGTAAGAAATTTCCGTTTTTTTGAGCTTCCCGCTTCAAAAACGATACTACAGCACAGGTAAACATTTTATTAGAGGAGTCGCTCCATCGTCAGCAATATTCATCATGGCTGACGCTTCCGCAGTTCCGCACAAAATTCGAGGAGAGTTCAAGGTCAATCAAGACAGGCAAGGAAAATATGAACGTAAAAACACGCCGATTGTTATCTGGTCTTATCCTGGTCAGGTGTTATCTCGTCCCATCAGACGTGTTTTGGCGAATAGGCGTCGGCCGTGATGAATATTGCCGACCCTCTAACAAAATGCTTACCTGTGCCGTGGTATCGCTTTTGATGGGGGAAGCTCAAAAAACTGCAAATTTCTTACACATTTCAGACTTTGCCGATGTGCTCATTGTGATTTTTGAGGCATTATGTATAAGAAACATCTCTTAGTTTTGCTCTAGCAAAAGTTTGCAACAGGCCCGTTATGAGTTCCCAATCCATCAAAATCAATGGGCATATTGAAGATCAATTGATGTAAATAATTGATCAATTTCTTTCCGCAGGGTACCTTTGATTTCACTCCTGTTGGGCGGCTTAAAATTTATTTTTGGTAGGTAAGTATGATGGATACATTGATATTTGATACACTTACTTTCAATAGCATGTCTATTCCTTCTTAAATAAAGGCAAAAAACCTGAGTTTTCAGTCCCCCAGTCAAAATGGGTGAGGGCGGAGCGAAGGAGGGAGAGGGAAATAACCAAAGTGGAAATTTTTACCTGAAAATCGCACAGTTCTTTCCATTTCATGTCTAGAGGTGTGGGACCATTTAGCGTCTTAGCTGTGAGGCTTTCAATGAATTTATCAAACTTCTCTACTTCTTGGGTGAACTGATTTAGGACTTCAGGATCATCGAATGGATCTTTTGATGCAGGTCTGTGGGGAGATATTTTGTCATCGACTGCTGGCACAGAGAGAGGCGGCAACTGTAAAAAACGATTGAGACCATGGTTTAAAATTGGTACCACAAGTAAGCACGATCTTGGCCCTTTGAATTACTGGAGACTACCAATAAATGGGCGCTTTCTCTCAACTGTACGTTTCTCAGATTTTCAACAAAAGACAGCTTCATTCTCCGGTATTGTACCAACGACAAAGAGATAACTTGTCAGTACTGTACCTACAGCAAATAAACTCCTCATCAGTATCTTCCTGACAGCAAACGAGTTATTCATCAGTACTGGTGTAAGTGTTGTCAGTGCAATGCTTGATGCTCTTAGTAATAGGTATAAACGCAGCAAGTTCTTAAATTCAAGAGAACAAATTTACCGTTTCAATCAATGGTCAAATACAGAAGGTAGTTGTGAGGCTGCTACCTTTAGATTCATAGTGGTAACATAAAAAGGTATTTTTTTAAGAGGCTACAGCATGGTACACACATTGCTTTGCAACGTTTCAGTACTATTAACAAATGAAAATAAAATTACCTGACTAGATAAAAAACTGCTGGGTTTCACTTCTTCGCTGTTTCCTGTTTTCTGAAGCGTTAAGCCTGCTAAGTGATCGCTGACTTGACTCACATTGACTTTGGGGGTATCGCTTGCTTCTGTTTTCACCTCACTGGCCAAAGAGTTTTTGGAATCGGTCGGGATCAGTGGTGCTTGTGAGACATTAAAATCTAATCCTGCCAAAAGATCGACATTTGACGAAGCATCAGAAAGATTTGAACCAGCATCTGATCTGTTCATGGAGTAGGTCAAAGTTGTGCCAGCGTTTGAAGTATGAGCTTGCATGTAAGTCAAAGAATTTTGCGGTGCCAATGGGCTTTGCACTTGCTCTGGAGCTGGCATTGCAGGTGCTGGAGATGGAGCTGCCGGTGCAACATTTTCTTGTACTGGAGACTGATACTGATAACCGTACGGAATGTTATAGTAGTTGTTCATGTAGTTTGGATCACTGGGCTGAGCGTAAACTCCTGTTGGTGGCGTTGGAGTGCTGGGTTCAGCAACTTGCGAAGAATTAGTGTGGAGAGTCTGATACTGACCAGCGTTTGTATAGAAAGCCTGTTGTTGCTGCATGTAAAGAAACTCAGACGTGGAAAATGGTACTGAGTATTGCATGTTCATGTACTGCTGGGGCTGAGCCATGGGGTAGGAACTGATAGCTGTTTGAGAATATGCCTTTGTTGGATCTTCAAACTGGGTGGGCTGAGATTCTGAAGCAGGCTGATAGTATGTATTTTGAGCAGGGTATGCGTTACTAGTTGCTGCAGAGGCATTGTAGTTGTAGTACTGATAGCTAGCGCTTTGATCGGTTGTTTGTTGATTTGTTCCTGAAGAGTAACCAGTCACATAATTGGTGTTGTTTTGAGATCCTGCCGAATATCCAGGGTACGTTTGAGTTTCATACTGATTATACAGGCCGGAGTAATGATTTGGAATGTAGACATCGTTAGGATTAGAATAGACCGTATTCGATGGATACGAGAGTGAGGGTTCAGTAACCGTTTGTGTTGGCAAAGTTGTGGGTGCAGAATAAGTTGGATAAGAGGCTTGTTGCATTGCTGCTTCGGGGAAAGAGTAATTTTGAACAGTTTGTGATAACTCGAGAGAAGTTTGAGCTGATGTGTAAGACTGCTGATACTGAGTTGGATTATTTAAAGAGGCGGGAGGTGTAAAGCTTTGGTACGGAATCTGCGACTGAGCGGAAGCAACCTTGCCTGCATCAGGAGCTTGATAGTAATTTGTATTGGATAAAGGTTGACTTGGAAAATTAGGAACAGTGTTTGCCGCTGGATTTTCGCCCGACTGAGATGCCGGTGTGCCGACTGATGGTGGGTAGGTGGCATTTTTCAAGTCGTTCATGTAGTTATTCGAGGGCTCTGCAGAATTTGGGTATGCAGTGGGGATAGTAGGTTTCTCCGATTGGGGGTAGGGATACTTGCTGGGGTCATAACTGTAATTTTGAGGGTAAGGATTGTACTGTGAATAAGGAGTGGCGTTTGGATACGGTTGGTAGGAATCCGAAGCAGGATAGTCTGAACGCATTTCCGGAGGTTTAGATGGTGTATTAGTGCCTTCGGATCCTAGCGGTGTAGGTCTTATGGAGGGTACCCATTGAGGCTTTGTTTCCACTGGAGGGATAGATAAAGCAGGATCAACGAACGGGGCTGGTTGAGGGGATGCTGAGGTTGGATTGGTGCTTCCAGGTTGGTAGAGATTTGGGTTGTAGAATGTATTCAGTGATGGGTTGGAATTAGTAGTTGGGGGTGTGGTGTTTCTTTTGGAGTTTAAGTAGTCTTTCAGTTTTGGACCTGAGTTGTTGGACACAGGCTCGTTGTCTGGTTTAGGCTTCGGAACGAGCTTCCCATTTTTCATCAACATTTGCTCTCGCTCTTCCTCTTGAACTTTGCAAGTGCCTCTGCAACGTTGTAACAATTTGCTGATGTTCGTGACAAGCTTTTTGTAAAATTTGAGGCCTTTGCCCGACTTAGCCAATAGATCCTCGTAGGCCTCATACGAGGATAATAGAGCTGAGACCATGGTGTTCCTTTTCCTTAGGACTTCGTTGATTCTTTTGCGCGTTGGAGCGAATTGGGCATAAACTTCTGAAAGAGCTTGTAGAATATTTTCTTGGGCAGCTAAATTTTGGTCTATTAATTGAATCTGGTGAGAAACAAAATAACAAAAATTGTTAATTGAACGGGTAAAAAAAAAACCGTGACAGTTTCATAGCTTTCAAGTATTTGGCAAAATTTCAGATGTGCAAAACTTTTTTTTTACGAAAGCCGGCTATGAGGAGACAATTAACAAAAATCCCTGAAGCAAACAGTGAGTAGATGTTCAACAAATTCTTCATTTACATACGTGTTACAAGTCGTCTTTCACAAAAATTACCAATCTCTAGAAGGATGAATTAAGAGAAATGATATGAAAAAGGGTCCTGCACAGAATTTTTTTTAATTTTATGTGCAGAATTTTCCAGCAAATTACAAGGAAAACCAGCAAGTCAAGCGAAGAATTCCATACGAGTTAAATTCCGTTATTATTTTATTGGATTAAACAATCTCTTGAGAACGCTGAGCGGTAAAAATCAAATTTTTGATGTGTCAATTTTGAGGAAATCAGGGCTAAAAAGTGAACCTTGACTTAAGGCTTGAATGATGCCCACTTCTTATGAATCAAATATTGGACAACACGGGAATGCTTGCTGCCATCCATTGGAGGTTTTTGTTCTTTTCAGCCAAGAAACGTGAATGTGAGGGCGTGTGTCTATTTCATCTCCTTCCGTCAGCAAGGAAAGATGAGTTCTCCTCAAACACCAATCCAGTGTTGCATCATTTTCTCTGGAAAATCTGAGTTGCAATGCTGAAGAATACACTTATCAGCCCTAAGTTTCTCAAAGGTGACACATACATAGAAAGTTTAATTATTTTTAAAGGTTTCTAGATCAGTGGATTGTGAAGAACGTTATGATAGTAAAATGATGGTAAAATTTGTTGGCTGGTGCCAAATTCTTTTTCTTGATAACATAACTTAATAAAACTCGCTTAAATTTCAATCTTTTTATCATTTTAAAATGAACCATTTTACTAGGTCCTGTCTGCTGTTGGTTGAGTAGGTGTTCTCTCATTTCCCATTTATAAAAATCCTAAAGTTTCTTCAATTATTCCAAAATTGGACTGAATATTTTTTACATTGTTAAAGGTAAAATTCGCAAGCTACTCCAAATTTTTAAGCAAAACATTTGTTATAGAGGGCTCATTTTGTTCTTAACTGACAGACTAATATTACTTTATTATACTTACAATTTTATCATGTTTCTTAAGCTCTTCTGCAAATATTTTTTCATGATCTTCATTTTGTTTGATTATTAAGGTGTTTGTAATATCATCGTTACAGATTGATTCACGTAGCTGGTTGTTCAACATTGATCTTTGGCGCTTCATTTCATCAACTTTGTTCACAAGAAGTTGTAGCTCATTCAGAATTTTTTCCTCTTCAGGTTCTGAAAAAAAACCACAACAGACATTGAAAAAAAAAGTGCATGATGAGAAAGTTCTGAAAAATTACCATGACAGACATTGAAAAAAAAAGTGCATGATGAGAAAATGAGAAAATATAAAAATACAACAAAAACTGGACAAAAAAACACAGCAAGGGACATCAACTGCTGCAGCTCTGGGGCTCACCTCTTGATATGTACATGTATTTGAAAGTAAGTTGGGATTTTTAGAGAAGATACACTGGAAAGTACTGATACAGAAATATGTTTACATGTACATGTACACAAATACACTGGAAACCTGTTAAAATCATGATTTTTGCTCTGGTCGTGTTTTTTTGTCCATTAAAACTTTCGTGACTTTTGTTAAAAATTTCGGCATCAATCAAAGACATTTACATAGGAAGTAATTTTTGTTCCCAAAACAATTTAAATAAGATTACCCCTCAAAAGTCTGTACTGCACTTTGAAACTTTTGTTACGTACTTTAATGTCAGAAGTTTTCCCAAGGAATCAAGATAGCGAAAATACTGCCTTGTTATCAATATCTCCAGTAAAATTCTTATCAGCATGTGTTATGATTGGCTCCTGTGTATAATTACATAAGTCATACCTGCCTTCATTAAGGCTTCTCTGTATGCAATCAAAACAATAAATTGAATTGCATTTTGCAAAAAGGAACCAGAAGCATAGCAATGATGCTAAGATTGTGTAACTTCATACTTTGCAATAGATTACTGATATCATGAAAAAATATGAAAGGACCCTACAACAAAACGGCCAAATCGGCCTAAACACGGAATCGTACGATTTTCTCAGGGATGATAGAGGGTCTTCCCAGACACTCAAAACTGGTCATATTTTTTGCCTAACCCCCAGGGAAAAGGGGAGAGAGGGGGTCAAAGTCAAAACCTTTAAATTAGCATAACTTCTCAACGGTTTGTCGTAGAAAGATGATCTTGGTGTCAAAATTTCCAGAAAAATGAGAGCTTTTAGAATATATGTATGAAATTAATTATATTTTAAAATTTGACCCACTTTTGGGGCATTTTACAAGGTCCCCCTTTCGTAAATTTTCGTTTTTTGAGATTTTCGGTTGTTCGGTTCGCACGAATCAAATCAAAAACAATTTCAAATGAAAGTAGAGCGTTTAAGCTTTAAAACAAGCCCAAGATGATCTTGGGGAAACGATTAGAAGCGGAGTTATGAGTCTTCAAAGTTGACGCGGCGCGCGAGAACCTTGTATGTTCCGAGTCTCAATGTCACCTGCACGCCCCGGATTGCCTGCAGGTTGCAAGTTTTTGTGTTTTTATGCTTCTGTAGGTCATTTTTAATGTAAATCATTCAATGAAGATAGAATAATCGAAATTTTTTAATTTTACACAATGGGCCTTCGGCGAGGTACACCACATTAACGTCGAACAATTTTAACTGCGTTTCAAATAGCCCCCTCAAGAATAACTGAGACTTATCTTGAAGCTCAAAGCTCGTCTGCTTCTACGAGAAACTATTTGGCTTTACCAGAAGAGTTCCGTCAAGCGCTGTAGCTTATAGCTCAACAAAAAGTTGCAACCTGCAGGCAATCCGGGGCGCGCAGGTGACCTTGAGACTCGGAACATACAAGGTTCCCGCGCGCCGCGTCAACTTTGAAGACTCATAACTCCGCTTCTAATCGTTTCCCCAAGATCATCTTGGGCTTGTTTTAAAGCTTAAACGCTCTACTTTCATTTGAAATTGTTTTTGATTTGATCCGTGCGAACCGAACAACCGAAAATCTCAAAAAACGAAAATTTACGAAAGGGGGACCTTGTAAAATGCCTCAAAAGTGGGTCAAATTTTAAAATATAATTAATTTCATACATATATTCTAAAAGCTCTCATTTTTTTGGAAATTTTGACACCAAGATCATCTTTCTACGACAAACCGTTGAGAAGTTATGCTAATTTAAAGGTTTTGACTTTGACCCCCCCTTTTCCCTGGGGGTTAGGCAAAAAATATGACCAGTTTTGAGTGTCTGGGAAGACCCTCTATCATCCCTGAGAAAATTGCACGATTCCGTGTTTAGGCCGATTTGGCCGTTTTGTTGTAGGGTCCTTTACATGGTAAGTTTTGTCTTAAATTTAAAGTTTTTAGCAAGTAAATTAGTAACTGTTAATGGATGATCAGGATTTTCTTCCAACATAAAAGAAGTTGCACAATCTTAGCAACATTGCAATGCTTCTGGTTCCTTTTTGTAAAATGCAATCCAATTGATCCCTCAGCAAAGATTTTTTACAATCAGCATTGCTACTTTGATTGAAATTATAATTGTACATTCATGATCATTGACACGAGAGTAATAATGTCAGTCAATGACGTAAATGCATTCAGATGACGTACCTAAGGCAGGTAACACCGGTATTTGCTGAGTTAACTCATTCAGGGGCAGCATGAGAATTTTCAAGTTTGTTATATGTAGCGTCATAGCTTTATGTAGGGTTTCATTTGATTCCGAGGCCTTTTTATGGGCCTCCTGGTACTTGTTAGCTTCTCGCGTGAGGTCTGTAGCAACAATTGAAGGTGGCCGACTCCCCATCACCTCTTGATATTCTTTCTCTGCTACCTCTTCTGCCTTAAGATAGAAACACAAAAGAACGATAAAAGAATATTTTAATATTTGAGTGAGGAACAGAGCTTCTAACTACATGGACTGTTACATTAGCCCAAGGAGTGGGTGACTGTGTGTAAAAAATGTGATACTAAAACTGTCTGCTCTTGAAAGAGGTGGAAAAATTCAGTGTTGATAACCTAACAAGAAAATACAAGAAAAATACACTAAAACATGAGTATACGAGGCTAAACGCCAAAAAAGGCTGAATTTCTATCTACCTTTGTATATCCATACTTTAGTGTATTTTTCTTGTGTTTTTTTGTTGAACCAGGCTATTGCATTATATTACTCTTGATCTGACAAGGCTACCTACTGAAAAAATGGCTCATGAAAGATAAGTGAAACAAAATTCAGACATTTTCATGGAATTATGGTAACTTTAAGGGTATTTAAAGAGTTTTTGAATAACTAAAAAAAAGTAAGAAATACGAGATCGCTTATTAAATACCCCAGCAAAAAATTGAATATGTTCAAAAACAGAACCATTATATCTTAGAACCTTAGAAATCATAAAATATATCTGATGAAGATAAATTGAATGAAAGAATGACCTTTTCTTTCCGACATCTGACACATCTCATTAGGATATTTCAGAGGTTATAACATTCTGGAATATCATTAGAGCCACTCTGGAATGTTCAATTTTTTAAAAAAAAATGATGCTCGTCAGAGATACGTTTAAGCAAAACAGCCATAAATATTTTTCAGGTAGGTTTTATGCTTAGAAATTTGGCATGGTGTATCATTAGGAGTTACTTGTAACTCTTCAAATTGAGTTTTACTCATTAGTCAATAGTTTGAAACAGACGGCCAGAGAAAAGGCCGTCCGGTTGATTCTGGGTACCCCTAACGTAATTAAAAAAAATGAATTACCTGTATTAATTCAAAAGTCTCTGACAGCATTGCTTCAACTTCAGCACTCACTTCAGCTAATGAGTTCATTGAGGAGATCAAATTTTGAATGGCATCTGTCTTCCCAGTCATTGCTGCACAGCTATCAATCAGCTCCTATGGGGGCAAGAGAAAATAATAAATTCATCCAATGAATCAGGTCACTAAAAAATTTACATTTTGAAAATAACCTCAATAGATTAAATGGTGAGGAGAGTTCATCTACAGGAATTGTTTTCGGATTTGATTTTATTAAACGTTGAAAGTGACATGTTACTCTTCTTTTGGTCATAATTAACAGTTTTTTCATGTTTTCATACTAATTTTGAGTTGAACTCACTAGTCGTATTTTGATTGACGTAACAACTCGGGATATCTCGTAACAATCGTATTTTGTTCGGATGTTCTTTCTGATAAGGGGCGTGGCCTCCTTTTATTCGTTTATTTTTTTTTGCACAATTTGGCAGTGGCGTGGCGTGCTTTGCGATCTATCGATTGATCGGCCATTTTAACCTATGTAAAAGGATCGATAAACAGGGTGTTCGCAGCAAACACCTTAATAATCGATTCTTTACTATGGGTTGAAATGGTATGACAATCGATATATCGCAATTCACGCCACGCCACTGCAATTTGGCAACTTTTTCGCAACATTGTTTCAAAACAATTGGAACGTCCTTGGAGCTTGTTAGGACTGTTGTGTGCATTTGTTAACAGGATTTCTAACCTCACTTCTAGCTGCTTTGCTCTCATTGGTTGTGAAAAAGTGATGCAAATAACACAAAATCGGTAGTAGGAAACAATTGTTGCATGGAACAAAACACGTCTACTAGGTAGCCAACAGCTTTTAGAGTTTGGTGTGAATGTATTCCTTTTGAAGCAAAATTAATGAATATTCCATAACATACGTATCAAAACTCTTGTTATCTTGAACAACATTCATTTGACAACCACTGCGCCTTGGTTTTAACCCTTTCCAGCCCAATGTCAGATATATTCGCCGTGAAAAATAACGCGTTTAGGTCCGATGTCGTATATAGTTGCCCAAAAGTTTGAACTTCTGTGCAGGCCCGATGTCGGGTATATTTGACTGCTCCAGCAAGTGGCGGCCTTCGGTGGACCCTTTGGAAACCACTGTCTTTGTTGACAACATCGGAAAAAGACGTGGACCTGCCACGGCGGCCGTGGAAAACTGCTGCGGACTGGAAAGGGTTAAGATTTCTTGTTAAATTCCTTTAGTTCCTTCCAACAAAAAGGTCTTATAAATCACTTCTACAGAAATTGAAATTTAATACCTGAGGGATTTTATCCATCTGCGAGAAAATGTGCAGGTAATCCAACTGCAATGACGACATGAAACTGACCAACTGCTCTTCCTTCTTGTCGATGTTTCCGCTCACTCTGCGTAATAGTTTCGCTTTCTCCTCACTAAAACAGTTGGATATAGTTATAAAATAAATGAATTTAAATAAAAAATGAGCTTGAAAATTGTAAGATGCTAGGTGTAAGTTGCTAGATTGATCGAAAATACACAGACCTGAGGGGCACCAGTCTTTAAAAGTCATAACACAATTTTATCAAAGTCAATCATGAACACTGTTGCTCAAAATAGGAAAGTCTGCAACATGGGTGCAGAAAGTTTTGAGACTTCCTCAAAAATTGAATCAAACTTCTCTAATTTTTAACCAATATTTAATATCTTTCACCCAAAAAATTAGACTTTACCACTACTAAAAGTATGCATTTTGCATGGGATTCCACTATTTTGTCCCAAATTCATGGCGGTTCTCCTGTTATTTCTCATTTTTGCAGGGATTCCTTCATTTCTCGAGACCAGCACACAACTAGGTCACGTAGTTGAAAAGTTTCTACACCACTGGTCTGCAAATGCAATCAATAAAAGTCTTAAATGTAGCTAGGAACTGGCTACCTAGAGCAATATTTGAAAAATAAAATTTAAATTATCCTCTACATGATTAAAATTTAAAGCCACTTTCACAGCTGAATTTACCAAAGGCTGTAGATCTAGATTAGAAATATATCTGTGAACACGAGTTTATGGTTTGGCAAGGAACATTCAATTATACGATAAATTTCAAAATAAGTTTTTCTGCAAGCAAAAGTAATAAAAATAGGGGTGTGGTTGGGAGATTTAGTAACTTTTGCCAGAGATGAGGGATGGCAGATTTTCATCACGAGGAAGCCCAATTATTATTTAGATCTGGAATCAGAAAGAGGGAAAAAGCAACGCAATATGCAAGGACACATTAAAATATAACTACCTGTAAAGTGAGGAGGCTTCATGGGCCTTCATGGGAACTAGATTGGCAAAAATATCTTGGCCAGATATTTCTGTATCATTGACGCTGAAAGCAATGCCTCGCACCAGAGATTTTCCTTTCACATCAGGCAATGCCTCTCTGTCGGGGACTTTCTCGTGGTAGATAAGATTATTTTCATTTTGAGCTGGTTTCATTTTGCCCACCACTACATCCATTGTAAAAGTCAGCGCTTCTTGAACCGCCTGGATCAGAAGGAAAACGAAGATTAATACAATTCAGATGTGTTTCCGTACTTACTTGAAAGAATATAAGATCAGTACACTCTCTACATAATAAATCGGCAGCTGATTGAAATCAACGAAAGTACATGCTATGTATCAGACAAGTCCTTTGTTACAGAGAAATTTCCCCAAATTTTCAAAGTGATATAATTTTTTTTTTTTTCTTTATTAAACTCTTCTTATATTTTATGAATGGCCTTTAAGACTTGTCGCAACGCCGATAAGCCTTACCATACCTGTTTACTTAACTAAAAGGGATAAGCCAGACCAGTAGAGAATTGTGTGTGATGCATACTTGGAGCTTTAAGACAAGCTTTAGATTTTGAAAATCAGTTGCAAAGTAACTCATACTGAAACCACCTACCGTTGCTGTAGGCCACCTGTCAGTACACCGATGTTTCAAAATTTTTCCATAAAAAAACATTAGAGTGAAGAGGGCAAACATGTTTTTTTTTTCTTATTTACATTAACTTATCGTGCTATGCAACCATCCCATGTAGGGTATTTTTAACTTCATACCAGAGACAAGAGACTTTCCACTGGCCTCTTGGCGACAGGTGGAAGCTTTTACTTTCAGGGATTTAACACCTCCTTATAGACAATTATAAGGGAGCAACAGTCATCACTCTTTTTCCGGCTGTTAACCTACCTACTTGGTGGATAATGAGCTTCGGGTGACGTTATGAGCTAAAAAGTTTCCCAAACTTCAGTTTGTTTGCAAAACAAAACTGCCAACTTGTTAACAATCAACCAAGTAGGTAGGTCAACGGTTTAATTTTGAAGTCCTGAAAGTAAAAGCTTCCACCATTGCCAAGATATTTTTGGAGGGTCTCTTGTCTCTGCTCCATACACACAGAAGACTCAACCTGAAGGTAAAAGACTATTTTTCCGACTGTTTTAAAATACACATTCATTCATACTATCATACTTGACTCTGTTCTCTCATTTATCTCACTTTGATGTTCATCCTCAAATTTAATATTCATCAAAATACAAAGATGAAAGGAACAAAAGTAATAAAATAAAATAAAGCCTTCTGTTTTGACACATCATGACAAATGTTGATAAGATGGAAATTACCTCTTGGTTTTCAATATCTTTCGAAAGATTAAAAGCTTCCTGCAGTCTGTCGGAAGCTGCTTGATAGTAAGCAACTCTTTCACCCATCTTCTGCTGCTCTTCAGACTGCATCCCTTGGTACAGCAGAGATATACACGCATAGTAGGCACTTTTGAATTTAACGTACCTCCGCCATCGCTAATGGAGAGAAAAGAGAAAATTTAGAGAATTCACAAGGAAACTGTCTCAACTGATTGTTGCATTGCATTTGCTTTCGGACGCATCGAAAAATGATTTTCCAAGAAGAACTGTTACACCAATCTATTACCTTCCCAGAAAAAGAGAAGACGGCCTCGTAAGCAAGCGCAAATATTACTTATTTCCAGCCGAGTTGAGATAGAAAACGAGTATTTTTTGGCAAACTCACGATTAAAAATGCACATTCTTTGCAAAATTTTAGCAATTTTGCAAATGAAGGGTAAGAAAAAGATCATTACTTTGGAATTTGGTAAGAAAAAAAGATTGATAAAGTAATAAGGCTTAGATTTTCTGCATCCCTGAGCTACACTTAAATTTTAGATATGAGATAACCCTAAGAATTACCTGTTTTAACAGATGAATTATTGAACACTTACTTTGAGATGCTTAGTACCGATGGAATAAAGAGTGGACCCCTCTTCTTCGAGAGTAGTGATCATGTTCATTGCCATGTTGTAATAGTCAACGATCTGAACTGCCACTTTCGCTGTAAAACATACAAACATTTAGGTAAACGTCTAAAAAACAAAAGAGCCAGATAGAGACATGGGACAGACAAACCCATTTCGAATTTATAACATAACTCAAAAATTAATTTACAAATCCAGTTATTTTGGTATTTTTGACAAACCGCAAACTTTGGTATTATAAGTATGAGGTCTGTTTAATTAGAAACCAGATTTTGGTCATAACTAGCCAGCAATGCGTCCGAATGAGGTCTTCTTGAACTTTCCTGATAGCTGGAAATATACTTAAGAACGCTACGTTCACAAATTTAGGATCATTGTTAGAACGTTCAAGCAGCGAAAGGGAAATTGACATTTGGTTGGATTTTTGTTCAATGGACAACAATCAAGGTGCAAGTGTACCTGAAACTCAATGCATGTCTACATATCTATCAAAATTGTAGGTGCAGAGCCTTCAGAAATATTACACTGTTCAGCAAGCTCGGAACGACCATTTTCAAGCACATTTGCCCGCACTTCTTCCACAGGACACATGTCAGTTGCCATTGATGGTCGATTCCCATGCTCCTCATCTTCAACGAACTCCTGACCAGTTTTGAATTGTTTAACCCACTTAAAACAGTGAGAACAACTCATAAAATGATCTTGGTAATCTTTACTTAGCAACCCAAAAGTTTTGGAATGAGGTATTCCGAGTTTAAAACAAAATTTAATGTTAAATCTTTGCTCTATCAGTGATCGCATGATGATAATCGCAGAACGCACCTGACATACTCGTATTCAAGATGGCATAGAATAGACACGGATCAAAATAAATAAAATCTGTGAACGTAACGTTTTTAAGTATATTTTCAGCTATCAGGAAAGTCCAAGAAAACCTATTTCGGACGCACACTGGGCTAGTTATCACCAAAATCCGGTTTCTAATCTAACAGACCTCGTACCCAGCCTTTCCATGGTTTTTCTACTTTTCTCGTTCTGGTCTATTGCTGGTGTTGTCAGACTTGGCAGACAAATGACAGTTCCAGCTCTAATTTTTGAAAGCACTATAATATTTTTTTCAGCAACTAGGACTTACCATTGATAGCTGCCTTCCTATTGTCAGCCATACTTTTCTCGAGAATACACTCTTGAGCTTGAGCTAGACACATCTGATGCTTGAATTGCATGACATTTGGCGCAACATTGATGCCAGGCATTTGCGGGTAGGAGTCTTTAACATGCTGTAGAAAAAAAAAAAACAATACAAGTTTGAAAGAAGTACTGACCATTACTACGACTTAAAAGAGACCATATTTCAGAGAAGGTACTTCAGTGCAAATAATTCAAAATTAAGAAAGGGGTACCATTGCAATGTTGCATAAGGACACTATTTTATATGTAATTATTTCATATATTATTTATAGAAGATTCTTGTTGCAAAGCCAGATCTATACTGGAATCTATAAAGTCCATATTGTGTATCAAAGCCATCCAGTAATTTTGCAAACTCCTGTAATCCTCTGTGACCTGTCCTCTGATAATGGATTTAAACTGATTTAAGCTCATCAACCTTGAAATCACAGAGCTCCAGTTATGTTCAAAGATGCAGTAAAGTCTTTCAAAATGACTAAAATATGAAAACATGAACGTCTACCTGAAATGCCCAAGCAGCACATTGAAAGTGTGTACATGCTAATTTCAACCCATTCTCCGTAAGTCTACTGTCCGCAGCACCAAGCTGAGAATGGAGGGCACCTATGTTGTAGAGTATATTCACCATTTCAAATCGTATATCTGGTAAACTTGTTGGTGAGTTTGAGTAAAGATCATTCCTGTGACATAGTTAAAAAATATTTAAACTCGCGCATCAGATGCAACAAGAGACATTCAGAAAGGTAGCAAGGCCTAGGGTAGCAAATGGATAAAGCGCCATCTATTTAGAACAAAATGGTCGACTCTTCTCTACAATTTAAAGTATTTCATTAATAATTTTACTTCATATGTATCAAAACAGCTGAAGGGACAAAGCTCAAATTCTGCCTTCTCATTTTAAAGGAGGACTACATTACAAGTGGGTAATCATTTCGTAGTAAACAAATACATAAAGATGGAGCACTCGTATCTAATGACATGGGAAAGAAAAAAAGCCGTCCTGGCGCTCTATGCTTATGTGAGTATGATAATGAGCACAGGAACGCTTGGCAAGCAGAATTTCTTGTTCTAAACTTGTTTTAAATGCCTGACACGAACGAATCAATAAAGTTGGGACAGAGACTTTTTATAATAAATCTACTTTGACTCGGTAACAAGCAGGGATCTCAGATAAAGTTGGTACTTCTTTTGGTCATGGGGGCTGAATAGATTCGAGCAAACCATTCAGTGCAGTTCAAGATGATCGTTACCCCTGAAATGAGATTAATAGGTCGATAGATTAATAGGACCAAAAATAGTCTGAAGTTAAAAAAGTATAAGGGTAAGTAAATTTGAGCAAGAATCAACCTGGAATACTTTGGTTACACTATTTTATTCTGTTCCCGTCCTTTGTTTGAATTTAAAACTTGTCCCCTTTTGCTGCCAATCCTCTAACCAAAAGGAGAGGTGGCTTCATTTTTTGCTCTCAGCACTCCGTCTTTACATCTTTGGATGTAAACACTCAAGATTTTCAAATCGAATGGTAACAAATAAGAAGAGTGCTCAGCCAACAACCTAATATGGTTATTAGAACAGCTTGTACTTATGTTTCTGAATAGAGATCATATCAGAGAAGTTGACAGTCGTTTAGTTTTAACTGTTGAATAGGGTGGACTGATTAACATATCTGCGCACAGTGGCATCATATATATCTCGTGGACAATAGTAACGTAGTCACTTACAAACAGAAAGTAAATGACTACCAACATATCTGATATGAGTTCTAGTAACAAACATGTCATGTAATAAGAAACCTGGCACCCTAATCGAGGCTTTCTAATGACCTCATACACCTGCAAGTAAACAAAAGTGATGGTTATTGTCTGCATATGAATGAAGAGAACATTGGAGACAGCAGAGGTCTCCAGTTGGCAGAAGATACGAACAGCCCTGTTCCTCCTTTCAACCTTTTATTTAAAATTACCAGTGTGAAAATGGTACTTCAAAATACTGGAACATACCATGTGAAGTTGACAGCAGCTTTTCCATCCTTGGACATAGGAAAGCGACTCTGCAGGAAATGTAACTGGCAGTAATACTGTTTCAGCGTGGAGCATCCATCGACATCCCTTTGAGGGCGAATAGCTGCAGCTCTCAATGATTCTAGACTGTAGATTTCTTTCATGTAAGTTTCTGGATTCTCATGATAGTGATCTCGAATGTACTGGAAAGATCAAAACAAGAAATTATGGGAGTGGAAACAAGGACAGTAAAATGAGTTATGAATCATGGTTGACGATACAGAGTGTGCCCCAGAGGGCTAGCCGAGCAACACGTAACAGTAAATGTAACAGGCTGTACTCTAGATAGAAATTAGAAGCGCTGATTACCTGTTTCAATTTTGAGCCAAAGTCTACAGATTCTGGACTTGTATTTAGATCGAAGTATATCATGGGAAGCCTTGGAACCGCTTCCATTTTTGAGGGGAGCTAGAACTGATCCTTAGAAGTGACAGGTTACAAAAAGGAGATGAAATTTATCGGCTGACTAACGCTCAAAGGCTGTGTCTGAATCAAACTTCGTTGAAAGTAGAGGTATCCACATTATAAATTAGAAAAAAGCACCAATAATTTCAAAAGTTTCGGCGAAAAACACGAATTATAATCTGTTATCTGTCAAGTGTCAAATCAAAACCAAAATGACTCATATCTCGAATCAGCTGAAGTCGAAAGTCGAGTTATCGCTTTTTGTTATGGTTTTAGATGAGGTTAGGTTTTCTTATTTATTTCCCCTTATACACTACATCCCGGCCCTTCATCATGCGTGTCTGTAGTTCTGTTCGTTGTTTCCCTTCTTTTATCGTGTTTTAGTGTATTAAACTTACATTTTTTCGATCAGTACTGAAGACATTCTTTTCTCTAATTTTGAGAATGGTCCATTAAGTTGATCACATCATGGTTGATTCCATCTACTCCAAACTACTCACTGGACTTCATGTTCTCCACACCTTTACTATTGCTTGTACAACTCAAGAATTTTGCCTAAAACTGTTGTGATCGTGGATTCTGTAGTCTGTACTTGGTGAAACTCTCGAAATTCAACTTAATGCACTGTGATCATGACGCCCAACAACGAGCAAAACACTTGTCGATTATGCGGTTCGAGTAGTGGAGTTTTCATATCAATCCTCGACCAAACGTATGAAAAGTATGTTCAGAAAATTTCTGGTTTACTAAACATCATGGTAAGTAGCAACTAGTGCACAAAAATATAACACAATCTAGATTGCGCTAAATGTTTCTCTGATGAAAGAATGGGTCGGTAGCCCGGGGTGTGTGCAGGGAAAACTAGAGCATATGGACCGCTAAATCTCAACTTGACAATCTCATGGGTGTTAGATCACCAAAAGAGACAAATCACTGTGAAATATCAAGTTTCAAAAATGAACGACCAAAAAGTTATGATCTTTCGAATTTCTGTCAAATAGCTGACTGCAATAGTTTCTTATTACCTGTTCCATCTTCAGTCACCTGTGTGGGGCACCGAAAGATTTATGGAAGCAGCAGCTGTTCCTGGCTAAATTGGTGAGAGGCATAAACCTTTCAATCACAAAAAGCACCAGGTACTGAGTATATATCAGGTCACAGTGTTTTTTAAGAAGGTGCTTTTTTATCCTCCAAGCATCGCCTTTTGTACCTCACCCTAACTGCCTTTTTTATTTATTTGTATCTACTGAAAAAATTGGCACAGAAACGCTCTTATTACAGAAGAAAGATAAAATAGGATAAATGTCACATCAACGTGAAGTGCACAATCCAAGGTCGATAGGTATAGATCAGTCTGATAACAAGATGTTCCTTGGAATTTCGTGAGCTGGCGACAAATTTCCCAGATTATCCGTTTCACTACTTTCTGAATGTTTCCTACATTTGCGCTGCTCCTTTGCATAGTCCCCCTCTGATCTGCGTAAGTACAATGTAATCGGATCGGGGGAACAGATATAGATATTGACAGATAAACATTATGCATAGGTTAATTTTATGCATTGGTTTCACAGTACCCAGTTTTTTTTCTTTTTTTTTGTAATTGCTTTGGTTGATCTAAAATTTAAAATTTATTTGCAGATTTATAGCAACGATCCACTCCCGAAAGTTCTCTGTCATCGCTGTGTCATAAAAATTGATGACTTTCAAGTTTTTGTGGAAAGCGCTCACTTTACTCAGAAAGTTTTGAGAGAGAAATTCCTTTCTAGTAATGTAAGTATTTTTTTTGGAAACTAACAACTCATTCAGAATCATGGGTATTGTTAGAAAAAAATAAGTTCTACGCTTCTTTTAGTATCTTGCTTGAAATCAATTAAACTAATAGCACAAGGGATAATTAGTTTGTGATAGGAAAAAAAAAATTACCAGATGTAAGTGAATGGCCATGAAGCTATTGAAAGACAATTTAGACAGTAGTTTCTTTTGATTTTTCAGAAAAAAAATATTGATTCACAATGTCTTTATATATATTTTACCTGTCTTTTGAGGGAAAATCAGTTACAAAACCTTTAATTAAGTACATATTGCTCTTAGAGCCAGATTCATCCTTGAAAAGGTTTTCTCCATAATTTTGGTGTCTTAAAAAAATATTTTGAAGAGGGAGACACCTAAAATGTGGTCATGTTTGAAATGGATCAATTTTCTTAAACACTCTGAATGTGAATGAAATTAGTATTTATCAGCAAAATTTGCTCGAAGTTTTGATGTTCATCAACTTTTGGTGAGAAATCATTTCGAAATGTTGCCGCCAGAAATAGTTATCTCCTTCTCCCCCCCAACCTTTTTTTCTCAATTCAATAATTCAAACAATTTTTTTAAATTACAGACGCTGAATGTGAGTGATGACGGGAAAAATCATCTATCTCTTCTTGCAAGTAATGAGAATGGATTGAATAGCAGTGCACTATCAGAACCACCTACCATTAATCCTCCTGCAATAATTTCATTTAATTTACTAACATGTTCAAATTCGAACGATGACTCTTTGGGAAGATGTAGGGTTGACAGTGGCTCAAATTTTGCAGCACAGCAATTAGACCCTGAACCTTTGAGCCTTGAATACCAGAAAGAACAGACCCCTACTCCATCTCTTACAAGACCGCCTGGGCCCAGACGGGGAAGTCGACCTTTCCCAAAGAAACCAGGCAGTATGAATTCATCTCAAAATCATACGCTTGAAGAAAAAAGTCAAATTAGTAAACCTGATTCAGAACGAGTCCCAAATGTAACAAACAGTACCTTACCTGAAGCTGCAGAAAAAGGCCACGAAAGTGAAGGAAGCTCCACCACGGATGAAAAGAAATTGTAAGTAAAATACCCTAGAATGATCGTGCAATTGTGTATGTTTCAAAATCATGTTTCAGTCTTTTAATGTGGTAGATTAGAAGTGATAATGGTTGCTTGGTTCCTAAAAACTTGCATTTAGTATTATCAAAGAAATCGATGTTTGAAAAACATGTCTGGTGACGCTGTCCTCTGCATAAATGGCAACAATCTTCACTGGAAAGAGGTCATATAAATCATTAGTGACAGTATGAATGGTCGTAAAATGGTCAGGAATTACAGAGGTGTACGGAAATTTGATTTTAAAGAAAAAATAATTCTCTCTGAAGTATTGGGATTTCTCATATTAGGACGAATACTTTCTCAAAGTGCAATCAAACAGAAGGAAAAGATAGAAAATTGAAGTTTTCAAGTTTACTTACCTCAAGTGCATATTGACAGAGGAAGAAAACTGGACATTTAAGTTTTTGAGTTTACTAAACTTGATTGGTTTTATGACTACACAGTTATGCAAACAAAGAGAAATTTTTAATTGTGAACCTTCCTTCAATAAACTTTAGTTTCCTTGATTGGTAACCTTTTAACTCATTGCATGTTCCCAGATCAGCCAACTCATCTCCCCCAACCAAAAAAAAGAAGAAGTATCTAAGCCCATTCGAAGTTCCCTCTCGAAGGAAACGGAACCGCAGAAGGCTGACGGATGCAATTCAAAGAAAGAAGAAAGTCAATAAAATCGATTCCAGCAGTGATGAAGACACCTCTAAGCCAGCAAAAAAATTAACCTCAATTCCTGAGGAAGACTTAGAGAAATACTTCATTCTTACCAAAATTCCCAGCCAGGGAATGATATACACGTGCAAAAAATGTGAAGCCATTTTCATGACAGCCAAGGCGTCAAGTGGCCATACAAAATGTCTCAGTGCAGAGCAAGTTAGTGAGGATGAGCAAGGTGGAAATTCATCCTCCTCAGAATCAAGCGGCGGCGAGCCTTCTGATGCCAGGTAGGGATGAATCTAAAATTTGTTTTTTCACAATTTTAATGTTTTAATTTTTGTTTTATTAAGTTTTGTTTTATACTTTTAAGCTGTACTATCCTTTTTCTCTTCTCTTGAGTAAAAAATGAATACGTACAATTTTTTTATAAGTAAGAATGAAAGACAAGTTCACTCATTTTAAAGCCATTTCGTTAGGAAGACGATCTATTTTTAAAATCCAGTGAAAGAAAGCGTAGTAAAATTCGACGGGAAAAGATAAAATACAGAATTCTTTCATCTTAAACCTATTTTGTAAGAGAAACAACTTGTTTTTGATAAGCATTTAAAGTTTTAGCATTCTAATTTACTTATACGAATCAACCAATTTAAAATTATTCTGTATGAGAGAAAAAATTCTTCAAGAAATGCTCCTTAAAAAAAGACACAAATTAATTTTGGAAAAAAAAACCCCTCAATGTTAATTCATTTTTAGTCTTTTTTTTTTGAGAGAGAGGAACTAAGTATTCTTGATCTTCAGTGAGAGAAGACATGAATAAAATTTTGTTAAGTGTTAGGTCTTGAGTTTATCCTTTCAAAGATTAATTGTCATTGATATCCAGCGAGCAGAGATGAATGAATGTAGGACAGAAACATCTAGCGAGATTATCCTTTCTAAATCTATTTTGCTAATTTTTATAGGTAGTAGAAAAATTCTTGAATAACTTTAGGAAAATAGAACAAGTCAAGAATTTTAATTTACCAGTGTTGTCAGCTACTGCTCCATGAGGATACTGCAAGAAGAAATTTTTGAGACCCTCTCTTTCTTTGGGGTATGACTTGTGGTAAATAAATTATTTCAGACACCCGTTAAAATAATTAAAAAAGTTCTTTAATTTTTTTACACTTCCACGTATACCCACTAATCTTTGTGAATTCAATTATATAATTTGAATTCACATGCAACTGTCCATCCTTTTCATCTATTATTTTTTTTTCCCCCAAAACTTTTTCTTGTTCATTTTGTATATTGTTCGGAAAAATCAGCGTTTGAAATGGGTTTTCTTTTTTAGCTCCATCTCATTGCTTTTTTTAAAAAAGGAAACAAAAGAGAGAGAAAATAAAAATGAATACTTTTGACGCAATAACTATTGTTTTTCATTATACTATGATGCTTAACTATAAACTATACCTAAATTAATTAAACCGCTCATTAATTAAAGCGTGAAAAGTCTTAACTTTGAAAATGCAACCAGACTCTAAGATAAATAGCACTTACGTCAAAAAGTTAACAAAGGTTTCTACTGTAGAGGGAAAAAATGTCTTGATTGCCTTGTTTCAAATTTCTGCTCTTACAGTGGACTCTTCAATTTTTTTTATCAATTCAGCCTGGTCTCTTTCCGGGTAAGTATTTGAAAAATCTAAAAAGCCTTTAAAAAACTTACACTATCAAAATGATGAAATATCGATAAATTTGAACAAGGATCTTGTTGATTTTAAATCATTGAAGTATATAAGCATCCTCCCTGCCGCACTCTCTACTTCAAGTGTAATGAGATGTCCACTAGGTATTTGCAACCAGGCTTGCATTTTGATCACGCTTTTTTGCCAAATCTATCCTTTCCGCTCAAGCCTGCCCAAACAAAAGCCTATTGTATTTCATTATTTTTTTTTTTTTTGGAAAAAAAGTAAAAACCAACTAATATTTTTCCTCGATCTCATAAGATTTTTAGTTATTTTTAATAAGAAAAAGTAAACTATCTGTTGTAATAAGTAAATGGTGGAAATTCAAAACATCCCAAGCAACACTAGTTATTGATGAGAGAGTACGCATTTTCCCCCTACTTAGAAGGATATGAATACGCCTATGTTCGCTTCTTAATCTTTTGATCATGATATTTTCTTCAAACTTTGTTAATATGCAGTTTTAGGCCAAGAATTTCCTTTTTTTGGCCTTTTGATTCTGACCAAAGAACACAGTTTGTGCAGTGTGGAACGCACTTGCTTTTTATTTAGCTTTTCTTGTTCTTGGAAATGCTTATACTCTGAGGAATTTTCTTTACGTTTCTGTAGGGGAAGATAGAACCTATTTAACCCCAAAATAATTGAACGAATATTCTGAGTTATCTGTAATCCACTTGGATGCAAAGTATGGCTGAAACTGCTTAACTGCTGTGAAAATGCTGCCCTGTCTGGTGCTCATTCCATTGTTGGAGCACAGTCGACAAAATAATATAGGTATAATGTATTGTTTAAATAAATTTGTGGAAATGCCATGTTTCATTTCCATTTAAATGCACTGAATGATAACCCTCTCTGTGCGTGCTGTTATACCTGGGAATTTTGCGGAAATAGCTCTTGAAAACACTGGAATTTTTGCTTTTTAAGGTGCATAGGATGTTCTGAATTTTTTTATTTTATGTGGAGTCCGTTGATTTTCTGTCATGTTTCTAGAGTTGAAACAAGCAAGAAGTTGAAGAAAGCAGAAATTTGGAATGTATCCAACCGAGACAAGTGATTTTTCTTTTTTTTATCGCTACCATATTCTGGAAAGTGTGTCCTGTTTTGTTTGTGTGTGTGTGTTGAAGAATTTTAATCATTAAAATCAATTGAATCTAATTTTAATATTTACTGCTTCTTTTGAAGAATGGACTCACGGTCATGTAATAGTAATCCTCGTTCACTTTTTCTTTTTTTCATGCAGCAAGAGCGATGAACCAGAAAAAGAATCTATCTACCAGTGTTCCTATTGTGACAAACCGTTCACACGGAATGTCGTTTGTTTGCAGCATGAGCAGACGCATTTACGTAATATGACTGTGACTGATGATGAGGAAGATATTTACTTAGAACCAAAATCAAAATCTAAAAAGAAAGTTGTCAACAAGTTTCTTGTTGAGAAGTTTCTCCTCCGTTGATTTCGATTGATTTAAATTTTTGATAAATTTCCTTGTGCTTTGATCAAAGTTATATGTACGCGCTGGAGTGAATTCAGTCGCCACAAACTTACTCAGTTGCAATTTATTGCAAATACTTTTTAAAGTATGCATTTCAAGCTTTCTTCCAGAATGGCATTTTTGAGTTATCTGCTTGGCTTTCCCTTTTCCACTAAGTATTAAAATTTGACGGCACCAGGTAGAAATTATATCTATTCAAAAAAGTATGCATTCTTTAAAGCACCACATTTTGGAGGTACTGCATTCTTCACATTAGATTACGTCTGCTTATGACGTTCAATATGTGCTTTAGTGCCGCTCCTCCCTCCCCTGTGCAGTTTTGGGGAAAAAATTTGGGCACTAAAATTTATGAAACTAACTTTTTAATGCTGTACGAGAGATCCTGAATACCCTGCTCCTTTTGCTCCTGCAAAGCCCACCTTCCTGCGGCCCTGCCACTTTGGTGGAGTAAAGAGCTTTCTTAGAACTCACTTTCGATAAATTGTCAGTTACTTACCTTCCATTTCAAGTGACTGCGCTGCCGCCATCCAATAGTGATTGAGGATTGACCAAGTGTGACAACAGTGGTACCGAAAACCAATTTTCTCCTCAGAGGAGGTATTGCCAAGTTGATCTACTGTGTGCGACAGTCAGAAGTAAACAACTGCCAACTTATTATCTGACGCGAGTTCTAACCATCTTTTAATTTTCAAGAAGCAGTAGCTTCCAGTATGAACAAATACTCATGTAAATCTATTGAAACCCTCCGAAATTTGAAATTTCTGTTTTTTTTGTTTTTTTTTAAAAACAGACATCATTTGCTGCAATATTGCCAACTTTTTTCACTTCATCACATTGAAATTTGATTAAAAAAAAAAAAAAAAAAAAAAACGTTGCCATGCGCCCATATTAAAACAAGTAAATATGAGAAGAGACAAATTTTTACCAGTTCCATTCTATCTCTGGAAGATGTTGAATTATAGGGCTTGGGCAATTGCTTTAAAACAAAGGAAGTTAGCAATCTTATGTTGCTTTCTTTTTTTGGAAGACGCACATACTTACTTCAGTAATTGAGACTAAGCTAAGCTTGTTTGGTCAGAAATTGACTACTGAAGCAGAAAAAAACTGGGACTTAAAAAAAGTAACGAATATAAAATATTTTTTGAGTTCCGTTTTTTTTATTTTCATATTCTTTTGAGTTCGTATTCATAGGATGGTCTTGGTGTTTTCCATGTGAAGAAGAATTGTTTTTGATCTCTGAAAATGTCAAAATGAAACTTTGCTGTATCAGTTTTCAAATGTCCTATTGTAACTATGCAGATATCTGTGTGGGTTTGTATGTTACAGCAGTCTGCTAAAAATTTCTAGCAAGCTTTTGAAATTTTTCCATGGGTTCAAGGTAATCTATGCGCACGCTGTTAGTTTCGCTTTATGTTTTTTTTATCTGCTAATATTATGGTTGCTTGGTGACCGCAGGAACCTTAAAACAGGGACTTGTAGGGATCGAGCATTAAAGAAATAAATTCAATTGTATTGAACAGAATTCTGTCACCAAAATGTTCATCTCAAATTTTTTGTTTGGATGTGGTAAAAGAAAGTATCACTTGAAAGTATCTTTGTAAAATTACGGAATGGACTTAAATTTGTCATCCTTTTTTGTTAGCAACCCTGATTAGTAAGAAATTCATATTTGTGACATACTTTAAAAAAATGACCCATAACTTCTCTAGAGAATACTTAGTGAGTAAACTCAAGTATCTCAAAATAATCTCTCTTTAGATAAATGTGTGGTGTCAGTCAAAATTTTTTAAATGACCGAAAGGCCTACTGTTGTTAAAGATTGAACTTGATATGATTGAAGTTGTAAACTTTCATTTTTTCTTCGAGCAGTTGTACTCTGATTTCAAGTCTAAAATCGTTCCCTTATTTTCAATCTTTTAAAGTCACCATAATTCGTTGTGGCAGTGTAAAATTGATTAGATAGTGTTCTCAGCAACAGAAATTGTCCTAAAAAAAATGAAGTGATTTTCCCCTTCACATCATCGTCATTTGAGTTTTCTGGTGTGCACTTTTTCGTAGAAATTAAGGAGCAGTTCCGACCCACGCATCCACTTTTTTCATACTATTGATACGGAAAATTATTCGGGATAAATTTATAACATATTTCACTTTGTTCTTTATTTTTTTACAAGAGCATCATTTTGTTGAATAATTTGTTTCAAAACATTCCCTACTCGAAAAAAAAAAAAAATATATCCAGGAGACAAAAACAACTAATTTTGGCGGAAAAGTTTTAGAGAATGGGAACCATCCTTGGCGCATGTAATTTAGTTCTCAGAGAGAGCCCAGTAGCAAAACATGTAAAATCTGTTTGATACTTGGACTACATTTTGCCAAAAGGAACCAGGAGCATTCCAATGTTGCTAGGATTGTGCAACTTACATTCGTTGCAGTAAAATTACTGAAATCTCGCCACAAATTAAATTTACCAAGGTAATTTTCGTATTGAATTTATAGTATATCGGGAATAAAGGTAAACTTTCTTTCGATGACCAGTCTATATTTGCATGGAGAAAAAATTTGCTCAGTCTTAGCAACATTGGAACGCTCTTGGTTCCTTTTTGCAAAATGCAATCCACTTTACCTAATGGTGCAATATGAAGTTTTTAAATCCTAGAACTCTCCAAGGAAGTATTTTATTCTGTTCACGTGGGAAAACTATTACCTCATCATTTTTTAATTAAAGATTGTTTGCCTAAAATTTTAGTCTTTAGTCTCAAAAATAAAAAAAAGTAGTTGATGGAGACTACCAAAATATTATTAAAAATTGTTAAGATTTCTCAGTTTTAAATCATCAAAAGGTTATTACCTGGTTTTAAGTGCTGAAAAAACCCCCACTTTTTTGTTTAGTTCTTAATTGATCCTTTAAGGTATTATTTTAACGAAATCTTGTTTCATATTTCAAGGATATGATTATTATAACGTTTTCTGTGAGGATTATTCGTTGTTCCTCCTAGAATGTTATTTTAAATGTATTAGGAATCTTTAATTTGTTGTGTTTTTGTATCAGACCCATATGTTTTTTAAAAAAAATTGTTGTTATCAGTTTTTTCATTTTGAATTCATCAAGAAATCATTTGTCTTTACCTACCAATTGTATTCTATGTACCTATGTTATTTTTTTCTGTTAAAACTTTCGGACTGCATATTTGTGACTGAGCAGCTTTAAAAAAATGTATATTTATATATTACTGGTGACTGATGTACCTTTTATTTGTGTTTAATTTTCCAATGTCATAATGATAGATGACTGATTCTCTCGTAAGTTCTAATGTGAATCTTTCTGCTTCACTCAGCCCTTCATATATTCATTTAATTTATAGTTTTCTGCCACAATAGCGTTTTTCGCATATATCATAGGAGAGACGACGTTTCTGTGAAGATATTTTTTCCTTAATCCCATAAGTTGAAAAAAAAAAATATTTCATCAAGGATACACTGCACTGGCATCAAGATAAGAAAAAGAGAAATTTTTGAGGTCAAGCAAAGGCACTCCTTCAGTATTTGAGGCAGTGTGTGCAGCAAGACTGTGAAAAGAAAAATAGCATTAAATAGTGAGTATTGTGCAACATCCCCGGCTTCAGGAAATGCAAACGACTCTAAATTTTCTTAAATATACAGAGAAAAGTCAGGCCTTCCTACCCTTTGTCTGTACTTTGATTATTTTGAATTAAAATTTAACAATTTTATCAACTTCTGCAGGGTGGTCCATAAGTCATGCATTACCACCGCACCAGCCATCACCCATGTAACTTTTGAACGATAAAGATAGAGGCTTGAAATTTTGTAAATGCTCCTATGTATATGAAAGGAAGCTACTTTTGTGACGATCCAAACTTTAAGTGCTATAACTCTGAAAAGGGGAAGAAACACCAGGGATTATGGGGGTGGTGCTGGACTTTTGGATAACTCTTCCAGATTAATAGGTGGCATTAGTTGAAGTGATTCTGGCATTACAAAAAATTCATTTTCTGTCTGAGGAGAGTGATGCGTATTGCTTCCTCTCAATATTATTGAGGTTTCCATGGAAGTATTAATTAGTTACCTTGGAGCTTCAATCCTATATCTATGTTCAACCTGAAATGTGAATTATTGCTTTTTGAGCCAAGCAACAATCAAGTCAAAATGAAGTTGAAGTTGACATTTTTTCCTAAATTCAGACATTACCACAAGGAAAAATGTAAAACTTTTTGTCTGAGACGGATTTTTTTTGACGGACAGAAAGTTGCTTGAGCGGATCAAGTTTTTTTGTAAGACCCGATTAAATTGATTTTTTTTTATTGAGGAATCAGGCAAAAAGAAAAATGTAAAAAATAAACGGATCCAAAATGGATAAACGATAAAGTACGATAACTTCTTAAAAGTAGGCTCAGCAGTAATTCAAATTTGTAATCAACAAGAATTTTTGATAATAATTAGTTGTTCCTTGTGAAAATTCATCAAAGCTCTAAGAATTAGATTTTTTTCATAGTATAATTTTTTTTCATTTTTAAAATCCATCTACTTCCTGAGTAATTTTTGACTTTCGCCTGGGAGTGATCTGTCATGATTTTCCTATCATTCCTGTTGGTGATTGCTTTCACTATCATGAAAATTTTCATAATTCTGTGAATATTAGGTATTATGATTAACCACGAGGACTAACTGATACAAATAATATGTACATTATCAATTTCCTCTCATTACCATTTCTAGACACCATACACTTTTATTTTGCTCTGTTAAATTTTGACTTCAATCTTTTTTTTTATGAGCATAATTAAATGAAGCAGATCTACTACAAATCCATTCAGTTTCTTTTTTTCCAGCTCTCAGTTCCTACCTCTAAAATTCCTTACTTTTTCTATTAATGTATAGATGATGAAACTACCAGACCACGTATCTCGTTTGCGGTGTTTAAAAATCTCTGCTCCCATTTTATTTTTTTGATAGAGAACCAATCAATTTCATTTTTTGAAGTTTTCGCGGAGTTTTCTTTGCAAGAAGAAAAATTATGGCAGTTTTCAAAAATTGACGATAAGTGACTTTCCTTGTAAAAAGAAAGTATGACAGGAAGTCTAGATTGCCGCAAACCGAGATACGTGGTCTGGTAGTTTCACCATTGGTACTTGTAAGTAGTCACTTTTGGCCAGATCCTTATCAGAATCTAGGTGGGAAACTACGTAAATTCCTATGCTCAGCTGACTGAGCTTCCCCTCTCAATATAAGTATCTGTACTTAGAGGGTACAAGAAAACTAAAAAAAAGTGTTAAAATAAAACAAATTATTCTTTATTACATAGTGCCATCAAAATACATATGGATAAAAACAATCCAAGATATACTGAAAAGAGTTAATCTAAGGAAAATTTACATCATGGGATCGTTCCTTCCCATTTTGGTAAGGGATTTCATTCTCTTCTCAATTAGTCGTTGCCTGCTTGCTTTCTCACGATCTCTACGCTGCTTCTCTAGCGACTCAGGAGACATTACTTTAGGGGGTTGTAGAGCATTCAATAACAAGGTCCTTAATTTGTCCATGGCATCAGTTAAATTTAAGTGTTGAGAACGAGTCTTATCAGACCGTATCACTAGGAAACCTTCCTTTGTCAACTTGATGGATTTGTGACTGAGAAGCGCATTTCGAACATCTTCATGCAGCCATTTGGCTGAGGCTAAATGAAATCTTAAATCTACTTTTGTATCAGATGTGTTCACACTTTGACCGCCAGGCCCAGGGCTGCGACTGTAGGTGATGGATAGTTGCTCAACTGGGATGTAACCATTGAACTTCTTGATAGGGTCGTCCGGTAAGTCTTTCTGCGTGGGCGTGGTGAGTTTTAAAGAACTGTTTGGGTACAGTTTGTCTAGACCTATGGAACTAGAATAAACTGATCTAAGGGAGTTCCTTCCTGCATTGGTGAAACTGTTCGTAAAAATTTTAGCACTTAACTGAAAGAGATTCATGCTGAAGGTTGACGCAGTTAATTCAAAAATCCATGAGTTATTGAAATTTGATGGAGCTTGGTAGCACAATCCGCGAGTTAAAGTGTTCCTTAAGTAGTGTGCAACACCAAGTAGGTAAGTAAGAAAAAGATTTTTCCACACAGAAATTCTTTGATAACAAGAAAAAGTCACTGCAGTAGTGCGGTAAAGTGTAAACTGCTGAGGTTATGTTTACAGACAGACACAGACAGAGGGTAGGAGGAGAGGGGCAAGCGAGATGCGAGGTAAATATATGACATGTGGCCTCTTTTGTCCTTTAAGTGCCTTGTAGTTATGCAACTAAAAGAGTTTCGGTGTATACGAAATGCCTATGTTTAAGAGGAAAGTTTAATGACTACTTTATTTGCACAGTTCGGCAACTGTAGGATGAACTTAACGAGAGCTCAAGCTCGACTTGTTGAAAAGAGAAAAAAAGATTGAACGCAATCGTGAAGAAAAGAGATAGAGCAAACAAGAACTGAAATCGACTGTCTGAAAATGGAGACTGTGTGCCTTGCCCGTACAGCATATTGCTCTGTGAAAGCGGATCGTGAGTGCAATAAACGTACATAACTTTTCTTTTCTCTTATTCAAATAGCCAATTTCATCGCGTATCTGTGTTATCATGAAGCTTGTCCCTGTCAATTGGGTTGAGTTATCAGCAGAATTTTGCATTCCGAGACAGGTGTACAGAGAAACTCGTGGGTGAGAATGGGTTATTATACTGGTTTGCTATTCGTGATAATGTTCCCACTTTTCCTGCTAATCGTGGCTACCTGTTTTGTTTAATTAAATCTCTGTTATTTTGTGCCTTTTCATAACTAGTTTTCTAATGCTCGTTTGGACCTCTAACTTTTCTTTGGTGTGATCAACAGATCAAGCAGTGTAATAATTCACTTGATCAAGTCTTATCAGTCCCAAATCAGTCCATTGTGCCTCACTTAATCTGTGACTGTGATTACTCAGGTAGATTCTTTTGCTGACCTTCTGTCTCTTTAGGATCCATACAATGTCAACAATTAATGAAAGTTCTACTCCTCCCATATTGTTGCCATGCACAATCTGCAATCGCACTTTCAAACCTGAGAGTTTGGCGAAGCATTCAAAAGTCTGTGAAAAAACTCTTATGAGGAAGAGGAAGAAATTTGATTCATCCAAGCAACGATTACAAGGAACGGAACTTGCAGAATTTCTACCAATGCTGTCAAAGTCTGTCAAAGTTGACAAATCTCCCATTAGAAAAGCTGACACAACGTGGAAGGACAAGCACTTGCAGCTGATGGAAACGATTCAAGCTGCAAGACAAATCCCTTCAGAAGGAGGGCATATCGAGAACTTGAAGGGGCGGATGCGTAGACTGACAGACCAAGAACTATGTCCTCATTGCGAGAGATCGTTCGGTATCAAGGCTTTTGACAGGCATGTCGAATGGTGTAAAGACAAGATTACTCGGATTCTCCCAAAGTCAACTGCCAGCTCTGTTGCTAAAGAACGTTTGGAAGCGAGGACAAAGGTAAGAATACTGTATCTTATTTATTCAGCGTTGTATTCGTCAACTAATTTTCCCATTCTTATTCTGTGGACTATTAGGGCTGATGAAACCACGTCTGATTTGGTCAATTCTGGTGTGAAATACCCCAGCTCATCCAAGTTATTAGATGAGAGATCTTCTGTTTTTGCCTCCAGTTTCCCTCTCTCTGAAAATTTACCCCTCTTGAAGAAAGGAGCTGTTAGCACAAATACTTACAGTTTTTTGTCTACTCGCTAATTAAAGTTGTCTGCTTAGTGCAGTGGTCTAACACCAAGCAGGGCCGTAGAGTCTTTGGATTCACGCAACTGACTGGGTCACCCTATATGGGGAACTCCTGTCAGATTACATCACTCTTTCTTATGAATAGATTTTGCGCTTTCAGAGAACCATCAATAACTTCTACTGTTCATATATTAATCTATATTTATTGCAGTATCAGGCTCCAAGGCTGCGGCAGTCTCTCCGAGCTCGTACCAGAGAAAAATATTCTCCTCATAGGCACAAGCAATCGCAGGAAAAGAAATCAGAGTCAGCAGACATATTGATCAAGAAGGAATCTTCACCGATCGTAGCAATGAATAAAGAAACATCTGCCACCGCGAACAACAAGGGGTCGGCAACTACCAAGCCTCAATGTAAGATATACTTTTCTCTCCTATTTCTATGAAAATTTAGATGAAAAATTTTACTCTAAGTTTAACTAATGTAAGCTGTGCAATTGATCATAGGGGTACCTTTGAGAAAATAAGAAATGTTTTCCCTTGCCAGCACCTTGATGTAGAATGATCAGGTAGCTTTAAAAGAATCTAAGTTGTTTCCCAAGATTCAGAGAGTTTAAGCATATTTAAGGACAGCTTTGGAATATAATGGGAAATTCTCACATGGAGATCTTGAAATCTTGTAACTAACTTGAAGCAAATTTCTCTCACAAAATTGTTTAATTTCTTCGGCCAAAAAAATTCTGTTTTTTTTATTTCGTGATTTGCCATGCCACTGGTAAATAAAGTACCTATTAGTAAATGCAGCCAATGGAATCTTGTTACATGCCGGTACAAGATAGGATTGCCTCCTCCCGAAGGATCATAAAAAGACTAAAAAGATCTATTACACTATTATAATTACGATCCATTAATAATATAGTAATAGCGCCTGCAAGTACAGGTAGCAAAATTAATAATAAAAATACTCTGATAGCGTATTACCGATAATAGCTTGGACGCCATCATCACATGGTTTCAAACTTTGAAGTGCTGCCTTTGGTACTTTGCTGGATGTATTCAACCCCAGAAACCTCAGTGTAAATTAGAACTTGCTACCTCTCTTGAATATGAGACATTCTCAGAAGAAGTAACAATGGATGTGGACTCAAAACTTCTTTTTATGTTACAGCTCCTGTTGTAAAAATCAAAAGCTTGGAGAAACCCAGTTTAACAAACAACAGACCTGTAGTTAATATACCAGTCCAGCCGCCAATTAAAAGATCATCTACCTCGACGTAAGTCTCATCCCTCATATCGAGCCTCCTCAACTCCTCTTATCCTCTTTGACTGGTGTATCAAGCAGTACATTGATCTTTTGAATGTTACTGAAAATTAAATAAGAAAAAAGAAAAAAAAAAACGAACCAAGGACTCTCATTGGTTTTTTGGGGGATAAGTAATAGCAGAGGACTGTGTGCAAATAGGAGACGACTCTTAGCCAATCTAACTCTTTGTTGTACACACATGTTGTGGTACTCTTCTTTAGAACTGAATCAGAAAAGCCACTTATCTTTTTTAATCATTTGATTGTGGCAGCATGATAGATTAAACTAGGGGGCTACGCCCCCTGGCCGCTACGCGGCCCAACCCCCTGAAGGCGCTCCGCGCCATCAATGGGCCGCTTCGCGGCCCTATTTTTACCCTCCTATCAGTGTTAGTTTTATTTTTCCCCTAAACAATTACGATATGAGGTATACTTTAATTTTAAACTTTACTTAAAATTACTTTAAAATTAAAAGGACGCGTTTTGGAATGACTGCTTGATGAAATATTGCAGTAAAACAATGAACAATGATAGTCATTATAAAAATTAGAAACTTCTGAATCGGGGATCGAACCCACACTTAGTTCAAGGTGGAAGCATTCGACATGTTGGACGACTCGGCCACCTCTTGACGTGAGGACTCCGGCGCGAATCTTGTGTAGATAAGTGTAGAGTTGATGCGCAGCTACACAGCTACTGCGCAACCTCCTCGACCACTGCGCATCCTCCCGCGCATAGCGGTAGCAGTACCGGAGCATTCTGTAAACTCTCTCACTTTTATAACGTGATTGTAAAAAACTTGGGTCCTTTTTCCAAAATCTGAATAGAGCGGGCTCATCTAGGGCCAATTACCCGTCGATTACCGCAAAGAACTTAGAAATCGGCCCGGTAGAACGCTCAAACGAACTATGACAAAAAATATAAATTTACATTGTTTAAATGGGAGAATTCGCAACTTTACCACTTAATATAAAAAAACCTAGGCCATATTTTGAAAATCTGAAAAGAGTTGGCTTATCTAGAGACAATTGCCCGTCGATAGCCGCAAAAATCATAAAAATCGGCCCGGTAGAACGCTGGAACTAAGCGTTACCAGTTTCGCAAAATTAGGAGGCTTGAGAGCTTATAGTATAGATGGTGAGAGCCATTAGTTCAGTCGTAAAACATACCATCGAGATTAGAGAAATCAGATACTCCTACTGGACAGATAGAATAACAACCCTCTCATTACACATTAAACCAAGTCTCCAGATAATTCCCCTAAGTTAGTGCATAAGTTTCATTTAAAACAAATGTCACCCCATGAGATGGTGTTTTTCATAAATTGTCGCTCCTCTGACGTAAGAGCGTATCTCGATTTCCGCATGAGCCATAGATTGCTTGTATGTATATGTAAAACAGGGTTCACGAGGAAATTGAGGTACGCCCTTACGTCAGAGGAACGACGAAATGTAGACAGGGTTTTATGTAGTCGGATATGACTTCACTTCTGAAGTGTGTATCTGGTGGCAAATATGTTCCTGTTAATGAAATCAAATTATGTGACAACATTTTGCAGTGAGGAACTACTATAACTGGTTTGTTTTAGGAAGGACATATGTGCCCAGTTTTCCTATGCAGGGAGGTTCTCTTATTAATGAGTTAGAAAAAGTAGTTCCTTCTTGCAAAATGTAGTCCAATTGAAATGATGTAGAAATGGATTGGAACTTCCCCTTTTCGCTGCTAATTATAGCCTTGGCTATGCCTCCATGACTCCTGTGAGTTGAATAGAAACCACTTGAATGAGCATATGGTTTGTATCCGAATTTTTAGACCTCACATTCCTTCCAAGTAGTCAAGGAGGCTGCTTTCTGTTCGTCAGTGCCAGTGATCCCTATAATTCAGTTTGCATCTAAATTAGACACAAGTAAATTTGCACCCCCCCCCCCTTTCTCTTAAATGCAGATAAATTTAACATATAACATCGTTGTTAATTTATCTATATACTTAAAAATCCTATCTTCTGGTGTTGCATTCTCTCTCAAGATCATTCCACTGGCATTTTGTATTCTTGTAGTTTCTTCACCTCAAATTTTAGTCCAACCCAGTAAATATTTTGAAAGCAACAACCTCTTGGCTTCATTAATTTTTTGTATTTTGGGTATTAATTTAAGTGCCTGGTGTTACCTAACTTGAGCACCTAGGAACACCTAACTTGAGCACCTAGGAACACCTAACTTCTGTGCCCTCTCTCATACTTATGACTGATTTTCAGGAAAAAATATCATAATAAGCATTGTTTTAACGAGACATGTTGAAGATTGCGAGTCAAATTTTTGTCTGTTGTTCCTCCTGAGGCTGAAATTCCATTTTTATTTTTGTTGGTTGACGATGTCAACAGTGATTTTAAATTAAAGCTTCCAGTAATAAAGCTTCATGGTTACGAGATTCCATTGAAAGTCTTTGCATCCTTCTTGAAAAAGAATTCTCCTTTAAAATAATCATCAAGGTCAAATTCAGCCGAATACAAGTGTCAGAAACCCTCTACTATTTTCAAGTGTAATATAAATGCTTCTTGTGTGTTGTTAAAACAGTTGTTAAAAAAATTTCTATGAATTTTTGCAGCCGTCTCAGTTCACAGTCAGTGAAAAAGTTGGATCTGCCATCAACAAATGTATCAAAAACTCCTGCCAAAAGTCTACCAAAGCAAAACAATACTGTCACTACCCTGCAAATTGCAAAGAGGTAATCATTTTTTTCCCCACATCATTATTATTTAGGTGAATATTGTGTCCTGAACGGAATGCATCAATTGCAATCTGCTTGAACTGCTGACTCCAGAACTACTTTTTTTAAGAAACAAGGTCCTTGAATTCTCAGGAATTTTAGAGCAAAAAAGTTTCAAAAGTTTTTTGGAAGGATTCGAAGAGAACTTTCCCAAACTACTTTTAGATACTCAAAATATACCAACAGAAGTTAGAAACGATGTGAATGAACCTTAGAAAGGCTTTACTATGGTTTTCTCAGAAATTTGTATGCCTACCTACCTATGGCACTCTTTCTGACCATGAAAAGGTTTTACGAAATATTCTGTGTTTTATAGAATTCTTTACAACATTTCTACGTTCTGAAACTTGTTCATGTTAAAATCAACTTTGTGAGAACTGTGGAATTTTTGTATTATTCTCTACTTAAATTCTTTTAGAACTCATGTCAGATAAGTTGGCAGTTGTCCACTTTTGATTGTTACGCCCAGTAGATAATTTTAGTAATATCCGCTCAGAGAATGGTATAGGTTTTAGGTATCTGAGCACAATGGCAATGCAGCCTTGTTGACGCTGTTGGTCAGTCTTCGATAGCTATTGGACGGAAGCATTGTAGTTGCTTTCAAACAGTAAGTAAACGACTGCCAATTTATGTGACGGAGTTTTATCCTAAGGTATATCAAATGATCATTTTGTTTGATAAATTTCAGTGATGCCTCCAATTATGATCCATACACCTCAGCCCAGCAACAAATGAAAGAGCTTTTGGATCTTGATTTCGATAAAGAATATCCTGTCCTTAAAGATTTACCCTCTCCTCTCATCAATCCCATTCCTATTAAGCGCGAATCAAAATCTGAAATTTTAAATGACAAACTCATGAACAATATCATACCCAACATCTCAGCAAAAGTTGACATTCCCAAAGTGAAAAACTTTGTTGATGAAAAAAATACTCTGAACAATAGTCTTTCTGCTGCAAGCTTAGCCAGAAATAAATCTACCGATCCAGGAATCGATGAATTTAAATTAGAAAATTTTATTGATACTCTGTCGGATGAGGAACTGATAGGACCAATCAAAGATCTAGTCATCAAGAATTCTATGGAGGCAGATTTGAAACGACCACCAGTTTCGATAGGTTGTTCACCAACATCGGCATTTGCCAAGTACTCTCCCTCTCCCCCTCACATCAATGAAACCACTGCAAAATCCACCCCTAACCTTCCCCTGAATGTGCCTCTTGATGAGGTAGCAAACTTTTCCAATTTGAACAAAAGCGAAAGGAATGTGGAAAAATACCCGCATGTCAACATGAGCAGTATTAGTTTGTGCTCTACGGTCAGTATTGATTCCAATATAGATTTTAATAGAAACAAGCGAGGATCTAATGACAGTTCTTTTGCACAGGAAATGAATTCTAAGTTAATGAAAAATTCTGAAACGCACAAAGAAGGTAGGAACATTGCTCGAACTTTACTCAATATGGAACAGATGCTGTTCGGGGTCTCGCCTAACCCCAACAGTAAAAATTCAAAAAGTGACAATAAGAATAGTAACAGAGAAGCAAATAAAAACTTAACCAGTCCAAAAAGTGGTGAGATTCCCTCCAAAGTAGATAAATCTACACCTAATTTCAATCAGTTGTACCCCAAATTGAATCTAAATAGTGCGGACGCTGCAGAATTAGAACTCATAGAATCCATTTCTGAATTAGAGAACCTATATCTTTTTTCCCCCATCAGCCAAGATCCATCCCTCTCCTTGAACTCTTCCCTCTCCAAAACTGACTCCAATTCCATGACAGCTGGTAGCGGGGAAGGTCTACGGAAAGAGAAAAAAGAAGCTCAGGCCTTATCTGCTTCGCAAGGAAGGAAGCCTAACTCTGATTCAGCATATAGCAGGTATGTTTCCAACTTTTTTGCTTGTTTTTTGCTTTGTTGAAATTCCAGCTCTTCTAGTGGAGGTTTAAAATTTACTGTTCTTATGCACTATTTGCAACAGAGAATTAGAGATAACATCAAATAATTTAAAATTCTTTGGGAGAAAAGTAAGACAATGAGAGAATTGAAAATTGAGGTAAGGAAAAAGGGAAGTAAAGAGCTCAAATTAAAAAAAAAACAACAAACAAACAAACAAAAAAAAAAAAAAAAAAAAAAAAAAAAAAAAAACGAGAAATTCTGATCATCTGAAGAACTAATCTCTTTTGAGGGTAAAAATTTTTCTCAGATTTATTTTCAAGGACGAAGCATTGTTGCACTGTTGTTTGAACATTTTTATTCAATCAGCAAAGAAAATTTTTCGATTTATATTTTTTTCCCTCACCAACTCCCCGTTTTATTTCCTAAAAATTTATTCTTCTCAAATCATACTAAATATTGATAGAGGAGAAGAGCAGCTCACTTCAAGTTTTTGTAAAACGAATCTTAAATTCCTTACAAGACCAAAAAAATAATTGTGTGTGAGTTGTGTGAGCCAAAAAATATTTGAAAACAGCAAAAGATGATGCAAATAATGCCATTAAATATGAAAGGGAAAAATTTAGATTTTTTAAACAATAACCGAATGATCTCGTGACTTAGTAATAGTTTTATTACTTATTCTCCTTTTGAATTTTGTCAGTTTGAGCAGAAAATCACCGTTGACCAGAACTCTAGCAACACATCAAGTAGATTTAGCTGAAATAAAAAGCCCTAGCAGCTTAAGCTCTAGTGGGTCAGAATCCTCTGTTGCTCATGCCTGTCGTACAGAGCGTCGCCTGTCAACGTTTTGCCATGAATGCGGTGCTAAGTATCCAGTTTCCGTTGCAAAATTCTGTTGTGAATGTGGAGTAAGAAGGTTAGCACTGTCCTAAATTTTCATTTTATTTCTCTCCTCTCCTAGCATCTAACTTTAATTTATTTAACTGACCAAATAATTTTGCTGTTTCATAACTGCGTTACCATTCTTACAAAGACTTACCAAATCAAATGTCGAAATTCATCTAGTTCCATTATTTATTGAAGTTATATTTTTGTTCTTATCAAACAAACCTCATCTTTGTGTATCGACAACCATAATTTCATCTTTATTTTTATTCTTTTGTCTGTTCATTGAATTTTTTTACCTTTTCCTGACTTCCTGGTGTAAATATTTTATTGTCCATTCCTTTTATAATTTTATCCCAAAAAAACTCAAAGCTAATACTCTTTACTTGTAGGTACTAAGATTTCCTTTTCCCCTCTGTATTCTGTAATACTCGTAGTGTACTTATTCATGTTTTTATCAGGTTCTTTATATTTGGGTGTAAATTTTGTCTCAATGTGTAAGCCTTTTTATGATGTTGGAAAAAGAATCGTGGAAAAGAAGATGGAAAATTTTGGGTAGAATCAAAGTTTTCCAGGAAAGTAAATTTCTGCCTAGAACTCTTAGTAGCGTCTCTGGAAAAGTGTAACTTCATACTACTTTTCCTGGTAGAGAGTTTTTCTCTCAAAGGAAAAGCAAGTTGTGAAAGCAAGAAATAGTGAGAAAAAATAATGAAAGGATTTGTTAATTGAGGTGCCTTTTTGCAATCCTCATTTATGGCCTTAGTCCGCTGAATTTGTATACATTAAGTACATTTTATGGCCTTTGTAAGTAATAAGCATGATGGGATGGTCTACAGTATCTTATTGGCCACCTCTCACTTTCTTTTAATGTTTTTTCTATCTTGCTCACCTCATTTTGTCCTTGCAAAGTCGAGAATTTTTGTATTCTATGCAATGAAAATGAACAATCAGTTTTGTAAAATACTCTATTTTTGTAAACATGTTTCTTCATTCACTTGTTAGAAATTAATTTTTTGATGTTTGTAACTCATTATTATTTTTATCAGTGTCCATTGTAGCAAGGACTTGAACACCAGGCTCAGTAAAATATATCAATGCCTGAAAGCTATGCTTGCATTTTTCGTTACATTTTAGGAAAATTTTTTTTTTCTTAGTTCTCTGTAATATTATTGTGGTGGAAATTCTTTTAAGCTGGTCGACTTTGCCGATTGTCCATTTTTTAGATTCAACTGGGATTCATTTTGTGGGTCTTCTTACCCCTATTTAGCAAATCATTCATCATTCTCTCTCTAAAAAGCAAAAAAATAAAAGAATGATCTAATACAGAACCATACCATCAGACGCTTCCTTGAAGTATTGTCATTTGTAAAATGGATGGGAAAATGAAAACAAATAGCATTTGTTCGAAGAGCACATCCATGTGAGCTCAAAGAGGAGAGAAAGGAGGAAGTTACGTATTGCTGAACATTCATCCTAAACAGGAAGGAAATAAATACGTACAAAAGAGTCGCTTTCAAAGCGCTCTCTGGCGCTCTGCGACGCCTAATCGCCACAGTGCTCGGTCCTCCCATAACTTGTTAGGAAGTTGGAACTCCCTCAGGGAAGAAATCAGAGTCCAAATTTCTCTCTCAAAGGATGGTTTGCTGTTTCATAATCTTATGAAAAATCTTCTGCGCCTTCATCTCAGAAAATTACAATAATTCTTGTAAACCATGCCTCTTTTTAATTTTTTTTTTGCAAATCGTCTGGTTTGATAAATCAATTTTTTGCAGAATGTTTCTTCCCTCTGTCTTTTTATGATTGTTTGCTGAGCTTGGTTTTCATTGACTCTGTTATTTTAGCTTATGAATTTCTGAATTTCAGATCTGATTTTCTGATGCGTTTGTTTTGATTCTTACACATGTGTGCGATGCAATTTTTTATTCAGGAACATCCTCAAAGGTGTTGCAGATGTTTGAATTCTGTGCCATTTTTTGTCTCTTGCTCTCTTTTCATCCAATGCAAGTAGTTTTCACCCACCAGTCAGAGCAATTAACAATACTGATGATGTGTATGATCCTACTTTTATTTCTATTTTTACGAAAGTACTAGTTCTACTCGGAATTTTCAGCATTAAATGTTTCCTCTGACTGTAATAAAAATTATCTTGAGCTGCTCATTACAGAATAATCTCCAAATCATACCGAAGGTTTTTCGAGAGATGTCAGCTGAACCTAATTGATCCATTATTTGCTTATCAAAGACCAAGATTAAAACTAATATATTAGCTAAATTTTATACGTCCTGATTTTTTTTTTGTCAGGTAGAGATTTACCTGATAAAATTAAGCAGTCTACCTAGTCAAGTATTATTCCTCTCTTAGGAGCACCTTTCGGTTACTGAGTGTTTCATCCAGTTGTAAACCAAACATCATGACATTAGACTACAAAGAATTCTTGCAATTTTTGTGAAGTTTTGAATGACAGGAAAGAGAGCAAATCATTCATTCTTTCAGTGCAGAGAAACAAATTATGTATTTTTAATTTTTCCTTTTAATCGCTCTTGCCTCCGCACATTTAAGCTCCTACCAAGTTTGCTAGTATACCATCACACTCAAAAAGTGCCGCAATTAAATTCTTGTAAATCCACTACATATTACAGCCGTGAAAATTTGAGTCTGTATTTTTGTCAATGTCACAGGTTTGCCCTGGATTGTACATTTGTGATTTTGATTGAAGTGATGACAATATGTATTTTAAAAACTTACATGACAGCAACATGCATGATTTAGTTTCAAAAAGTAAAACAACAAAATATACCTCATAAAACACTTAACACTAACTTTTTGTAAAAGTGGCCTGAATTCTGAGAGCACATTGAAATACTTAACAACAATTTGACTCATAGTATTCTAAGATTCCTGTAATGGTAACCCCCCCCCCCCCCTAATATAAGGGAATTATATTTGTCCTATTCTTGTCTATAAGACTCGAATTATGAATTAGTGCAATCGAATTGGAGCTGGCAGCCATTATGTATGTATGTATGTATGAATTGAAGCCATGCATTTAAGCCATTTATGTGATTTGTGTTAAGTTTTGTACTGAAAGTCCACTTCTCTTTCGAAAGATAATGGTGTTTTATTACCTAACTCACTACGTTACAAATTCAATATTTGCAATATTAGTATTATTGTAAGAAATTTGAAGACTTATCACGCACAGTAAACTTTAAGATGGTTTCAAAATTTATTATCACATTTTTTATTTTACTACTTGTTTTTTAAACCCGGAGCCTTTTTCCACCCGAAGACTGTGTGCTTACGGCAAACATCAATTGTCAAGTTTTGTGGTTTGACCGATTTCGCATTTCAAAAAAAAATTTATATTAGTAGATAATATGAACAAAAAAACGTAGAGCCAAGGTAATTTGTCGAAATAAAATATTTACTCTTCATAATAGTCAATGAGTCTTCGTTTTGTAAGTGCAATTAAATTGTTTCATTGTTATTCTTGTCAAATTTCTGTACTAATATTAGAGTTATTTTTAAAACAGTATTCAAAGCTAATTTTGTGATTCTTTTCCGAAAATTGTTTACCTGTTGTGAGCATCACAGCGTTACCTTGATTTTGTAATCTAGTCCTAAGGAGTCTAGCAGTTGCTTGTACATTAGTTGCTCCCAACCAAATTAAACCGAGGAGGGGTACCCACACACCAGTCCTCTGCTTGTATCTTTTGTACCATATTCACCTAGAAAAACATAATTTTATTACCTTTTAAGTAGAAAGTTACACTAGGTCAGTTGAGGTGGTCACACCTATGGGTTTTGATGGTTTAAGATAACAGATTAGCAAAAAATAATACAATTTATTGAAACACCAAGTTACCCAGTATTAACAGATTGCATGACATCCATCAGGGTAGTAGGTATTTATCATAATCTCCTCTGCCTTGGTTTCATAAATCATTGATACCCACATTTGCATTGGTTGCTTGACGTAAGATGCAGATGAAATCAAGGTGGAAGAAACTACAGTACGCCTTTCCACAGTGGATGTGCTGAATGCCGTCTTCTTTAATGGGTGAAATATTCGTTAATATTGGACATTGAAAAGGCTCCGTACACACCTCATGGGAATGTATGCGCTGTATGATTTCCAGTTTTGTCATTGGATTAAGCTCACCTATGGTCGCTGATCAAAAGTCACCTTTGTGCTAACTCTCTACGAGCCACCGTTTTTGCATAATCTGCAGTGGAAGTTTCCATAATTCCTTGCGTAAATTAAGGTAGTGCAGCAATAAACAGTCAAAGATATCCCTGATTTCTGCACATCGAGTACAGTTCAGAAGTGTGCAAGTAATGTAAATAGGAAAACCAATCAGCAGTCAAGTGACAGTCTTGTCTCGGATTCCCCACGCCTTTTCTTTCCACCATCCAGATCAGTTTCCTTTTCTCTCCCCTTCTATAGTCCTTACCAGACAGACGCGCACTGCGTATTGATTTCAGCTGACCCGTCCTAGAAATTATGGAAACTTTAATCGTGGATTGAGCAAAAATGGTGGCTCGTAGAAAGTTAGTGCAATGATTACTTTTAATAAGCATCCATAGACGAATTTACTGCAATTAAAAAATTGGAAATTAAACCGGACACACGTATTCATGATGAGGGTGTAGGGTCCTTTAGCGTTCCAATAGATCTTATTAATGTTTGCAAATCTATAAGCCTAAACCATTAAAATTTGATTCTTTGACTAGGCAGCTGACCCATAGAAGAAATGAGACTTAAAGCAACTTCTAGCTGGAACCCTTTTTTCTTAACTCAGGAGCGAATTTCTTTAATATCCCTGCTAAATCCCCTTATTTTTACCTGTACTTCTGCTTAAGTATCCAAACCTACATTAAAAGCTCTTTCTCACAATTGGATCAGATCCGTTGCACAATTTTTCAATTAATATTACTAATTGTAAATATTGATTTCATGGGTAGGATAAAATTTTGGAAACGTACGGAAGTTTTGAGCAGAATTAAATGAATTAGTAGGCTTTAATATCATAGTCTGCTATGTAATAGAACACATTAAGATAACAGTGTTTCAGGAAATCTGCTAGGTTTTCAAGGTATTTTCAGATGCTTGAAAACTTCACCGATAGTGAACCATGCATTAAAATAAGTTTTCAATATCCTAGCCCAAAAATGTACCTAAAATCTACTCACAGATGAAGAATAGAAATTCAAAACCTGGTAAGTGTTATTAGGTGTTGCTCAGATTTTGAATGATGTTTCTCACTGGAAAAGAACGAAAATACGTGTGGTTCATGGATTTTTCATGGTAGAAGTTTCAGGAAAACTTTGTCTTGTTATTCAGACAGGATGTGTAATTCTGAAGCCAATAGATATGCATCAAGAAAAAGATACAGTTGTAACATTAGCAACATCTTGTGGCGCTCATCAAGATTTGAATTTCTACCCTTTGGGCGTCAAGGGCTGATAAACCTTGACTACTGATTAACTGTATTTCATCTGCAAAACTGAACCTCTTCCATCTTTTGAATATTAAGACCATCGGAACGAAATTCGTTTGCTTTCACCAAGAAAATCTGTTTATTTTAAGGTCAGTTTTAAAATTAGCAGGAACAATTTTTCATTTTTATGCAAGTTGGTATTGAGTCAAACAAGGAAGTCAAACAGTTTTTTTAAAACTTGCAGACACTTTCTGTCTTGCATTGCCTACGAAAAATTCCCTAAATTTCCACGAGCTTAAATATTTCACTCCGTCCCTTTTTGGCGGCAAGTTTGAGGGAGAAAAAATTTCATTTATTGACTTGCAGTATTGCGTTTTTTAAGTAAGATATGAAGTGAAGTCAGTTTTTCAATAGTCCTACAAAGTGATGAAAGTTGAATAGATGTACGTAACAAAGTAAAATTCTGTTTCAAGTTTTGATCAGCAGTTCTCATTGTTAAATTAATGCAATTCTTTAATCTGCGGGTAAAGTATTAGTTCATCTTGGTGTTTTGAAAAATATCAAAAGCTCTGTTGCCATAGAAGTATTTTCTAGCACCTAAAAGTTGCCTTTTAAATACTACTAAGTACTACGGGGATTTTTTGTACCTTCAGTATCCCTCTCAGAGAAATTAACAACTTGCTTTGATCTATGAACTAATTTTAATGTCCATTTTATTGTTTAGTAGGTTTTTTATGTTTATTTAATTTTTTTCTAATCTTTATTCCAGGTAAACTGTATTTAATGGCAAATTAACGAATTCACTAATCTAGTCGTGTTTCATGATTTTCAGACTCCATGTACAGTTCTTGTTTTTCATGCCAAGAAACTTTCCTTGGCCTAGATTTAGTACACGAATTTCCTTCTGTAATCAGAAGTAAGTTCTCAGACATTGTATATTTTTGTGCACATAAACAAAGTCGCCTTTTTGGAGACTGAAACCTTTAATAAAAAGCAACACATGTCATACTCTGCCCCCAATGAAGGGGTAGTGCCATAAAAATGAGTATCTTTAGCAATAAAAGCTTTAACATCAGTCTATTTGGTGATGGATTTCAATTTGTCAACTACTTGTATCAACTTTTTAGTTCGTCATATTGGAAAGGAAATGTGTTACCTCTGATGAAAACACCATTCAGAAGCAAAAAGTAGATTGAAGTGAACAGTAGAACAGGGTTGAGCAGTCACAAATGTAGTGCACAAAGTTACAGAAAAAACGGGATTAAGAAGGCTAGGATCGAAGTTCAACCTCATTCCTGCTATAGGACTTTTTTTCTTGGGGGGGGGGGGGATTGAATACACATTTTCATGATGTTATCAAAGTCCATCACATTTGGCTTGAGGATATCATGTTCTCGACTTTTTCATCAAGAGAAAACTAGATGTAGTAAATTCAAATGTGCCTTAATTTGTTTAAATCCAAAAATGCCCACTGTTCGTAAAATTCAGGGACTTATGAGAAAATGTAATGTACCGTAACAAGATAAATCCAATGGCAAACATGAAAATCATGATTTGATGGTACCTTGAAGTTCTGATACTCAGTGTTGTGTATTTAAAGCATTAATTTTTTTTTTTTTTACATGATAGGTAAAGGATTCTTTACTTTGATTTGCTCTCACCCCTAAGAAAAATTGAACCAGAATTGTCAGAAATGTGTTCAATGTTTTTAAGTTCATCATTGCCTTAGTTGTACCTTTAAAACAAGTTTTTTGTTTGCATAAATTTAGCATTGTAGTCTAATGATTACCATGGCTCAAATAGATGTATTCAAATCAAACAAAACTATCTCCATTGTGACATGGACCCTGAGATACATAAGAATACACGCATGACAGAGCCCATGTCACAATATTTTTAGTTCTTTTTTACTTAAATATGTGTCCATGTATTGGTCTGGTTGTTGTTCTAGTTCCAAGTCAGAAACAAGATAGAATTAACTCACTTTCTGTCCAATGTTGTTTGCTCTCCAAGATTCTGACTTTCTACTTGTTCAATTCAATTTTTCTATGTTACTCATCTAAGTTTTGTGAGGTAGAGAAAAGAAAATCGATAGTTTGGCAAATAAAAATCCATTGAAATTCAATTTGATATCCTAGCAATTAAGTATTTAACTATAATGAGCTTTAAAACTTTGGAACAGCTAGAGTAACTTCGACTACATTTTCCAAGAACAGGGAGTTCATACGAATTTATGCATTTACGTGCATTTGAACCTAATGGTTTAACTATTTCCCTCTTGCCAAGGCTGGATCATTCAGAATTTTGCATTAGCTACTCATGGCATCTGAAAATGACTTTAACTAAAAAAAAAATTCACTTAACATTAATAGTTGATGATATTGGTAGATTTCTGTAATTTTAAGGATCCTCTTATAGAACTTACTAATGCGCCTTACCAATTTTCATCTACAGTGATGTTTTACCTTGAAACCTGGAGAAATTATGAAATAAAATTTTATACTTTTCTACAACCTCTTTCCTTTTAACTGCCCTCTTGTCTAAAAGGTATCATGAAGCCAGTTTACAGTCAACCAATGATTGTCTGAGTGTTCTTTGTGTGTATGTCTTGCAAGACCGCCTTGTAAGATTTAATATAAATAAGGGTATAAACTGAAAAACACTTGCACAGTGAAATCAGGAAAGCTGTAGGGGGAAATGGACCGAGTTTATAAGAATCGCATCAAGCTGCTTTTGGCAAAGATGAGTTCGGAGTGGTTTTGTATTCAACTAGTTATCAATTATATACTGTCAAAAATTCCAAGTCCAGAAAAAATATTTTGAACATTAAAAGTAGTTGTTAAACTTTGTCCTTAACATTAGATCTTGTGAAGGAATTAACCTCCAACCTCTTTTTCTTCATTCTAACTTGACGCGTCCGTTAAACTCAGCCCAAATAACCCTCATGATAGGACATTCTCATATTGGCAGAATACCAGATAATACTGATGCGTACTTCAGGATGGAGGGGGAAGGTGAGTTAAAGAGACTGGACTACTAGAGGCTTAATGCTTTGTAGTGATTGGTATCAAAAACAAATGTAAGGAGAAAGTATTTTATTTTATCGAAACATGCTGCGGTGTATCAATTCACTGCACAACTTAATTCCTTCATTCTAATTGCATTAGAAAACATAAAAAGAAGTGATATTGTTGAAAAGCACAGAAAACAAAACAAAGAAAGTTTCCTATGTACAAAAACAAACTACAATGAAATAAAACTAGTAAAATCACGTTTCTTTTTCTTCGCCGCCTGATAATTTTTTAACATCATGTGTTCCTACAGGAGTGGTGCTTCGTGATATCCTTTTGATATTTCTGATTCCTATTTCTTTTTCCTTTGACCATTGCACACCTACCAAAGTCCTTGCTCTATCTGGTCTACGCCCAAGTTTGAATAATTTATAATATTCAATAATATTATCTGAAACAGTGGAGATTTACACATTATTAAGAGATGACACAAAAAAATCAATCAATATACGGGCTAAAAGTAAGAATACACATTCTCGGCCCACAGCAACTAAACTCATGTTCGAAACAAAAGTATTTCTCTCAGATCACTTCTTTCAAAAAGTGAAGTGGTGTTTTTGAATGGCAGATGGAAACTGTTACAGTAAGTTGCAGACCTCACTGAGGTGCTTTACTTATAAATAATGAACAAGATAGAATTTCATTTGATTCTTAGAAACCAGTATTAGCACAGGAAAAGCAGGTGTCGGCTTAGCAGCTGCATCAGGATATCATGTGGAAAAATGCCCGCAACTTGTGATAAACGAAACATATGTTCTCTGGGAGATCCATTGTTATCTGTTATTAAGAAATCAACAGAGTTATTGTAAGCGTAGGTATGTTCTTGATGTTTGCAACTTGGCAATCTACTGGTATTTTTTTCTTTATCAGCCAATAGGGGGTGACTCCGGATTATTTTCTTTACTAACTACGGAGTGAGGTATGATCTTAAGAAGAGAGAGAGGAGATAGATTTTGCCAAGAGTAACTCAGATTAAGAGGAGGATTTGTTGCTTCTCTTGAAACACCAGACTAACATTAGAAGAGATGGCTACAGTATGCATTTTTTTAAAAGTAATATGAATGCATAAAAATTTACAAAAATATATTAAGAGTTATGACAGGATGGGAGTGAAACTTACTAAGGTGTTTCTCATCAATATTGTATTTTATGGCTAATTTTTTAGCTGAATTTTCGTCACGGTCTTCATGATACTCTGTTAAGATCTGTATGATCTGGGTTAAAGTATATCTTCCAGGTGGGGCAGTTTCCGGATCCTGATATCCATACTCGAAAGGGCTTTCATATCGTGTCCTCTTCGGCAACATGTCTATATTTCTTGGGAGGCCTGTCTACAAAAGAGAAATTCAAAGAGAACACAGTGATAAAGACTGATAAAACATTGCTGAAAAATTTTTTTTTAAAAAAAATATCCAGGGTTTCCATGATATCTTCATTTTTTAATCTCCTGACTTTTCCTAGAATTTTTTTGCACCTCCCTGACTCCAGAATTTTCGAATTCCAGATCATCAAACGAAACTTCCACTTGGATTTTTCCCTTTTTTAACTAGACCGGCTTCTGCTATACGCTGATCTTGAAATTCCACGACTTCTTTAGTGCAACATTAATTCCCTGAATTTCCAGGTTACGACTGGTTACCAGACCGCAGGAACATTTTAAATGAAATAATTTTGCAAACATTCTTTCTACTTCAGAGAGAATATAAAAGTTACAAGCTTTGAGCAGAAAGTATTTGTGGAATGCAGCTAAAAGGTATGAGGCATTTGCAGCATAATTTCAGGGGGAAAGGGATAGTGTTGCAATGCTTATTAGGGTCCATTAGGACAAGGAAATTTAATCAAAGAAACAGAAGCAAAGAATTTATGATGGCTCTGTAAGAAGTGTCTTGGCTACGGTAGAAAAGTTAGATATATGATGAAGCTAACCCAAGATACGTTGAAGGGGACCAAAATGGATTTTTGGTGATCCGGTCTACTGGCATCTTAAGAAGGGATGAAACGAATCTATCAGATAATGAAGATTAGAAGCAATAATGTGCACACAATGTCCAGGTGGTCGGTGTGTTATGGATATGTGCATAGAGTGTCAGAGGAAAGGTTGCCCAAATAAGTTTCAGATTGAGTTCTTCTTAGAAGATAATGTAAAGGTCCTGTGAGGGGATGGTGACGAGGCGTCAATGAGAGAGCACAAAGATTGAGTCAGTTGGCACGTGACCCTTTGCAGGACAGGTACACGTGGTACTTGGGTGTTGGAGAGCACCATAGTGTATTGAAAGAGTGAGATGCAAAAGGAGAGAGGTAGCCTCTGACAAGATTTTGAGATTTCATTTTGCTCCGGGAAATGTATGTAAAGGGTAACAGATTTCAGATCCTTCAAAAAACTATGCATTATGCCCATGTGAGAAAGATTGAAATATTCCAAAAACACGATAATTTTTTCTCATTAAAAATTGTGTCCTACACAGGATAAGTAATGTAATGACACTAGCTTGTAGAAAGGCTGAGAATCCAGGAACTTGGCTGGGTAATATATCAAAAAGAGCTATTATTGAATGAAATGTGAGTGTTTATTGGTAAGCGACAGTTTTTAAGGCAAATATTGAGCGTCTGGGTGGGATTACCTATCCTCTGTCTATATTCCTGCTTTCAAAGAAAATTTATCATTCAGCAGGGTGCAGAAACTGAAGTAGGATTTACTGTCGGAGAAAAACATGAAATGGCAGCTACGCATTTGCTCTGTAATTACCAACTTCTTAAGAGGGGCTTTCTTCGTCATCTTCATTTAAGGGTGTTCCAATCACCACTGGCGACCTAAGAAACCTTTGGATAGGAAAAATCACTTCTTGTTGAGTGAAAAGTTTAAATTAAGGAGGCAGCTCTGTCATAAATAAAGGGATTGCCAGGAAATTTGGTGAGTTACCGACCCCAAAATTACTGGTATTCTCAAAAGATTGCCAAAGTACTAATACTTACAGAGCCAGGTACAGACTTGACGTACACGCTCTTCAGGTTTTTGTCTAAGTCTTCATTTTTTTTTTGTAGTTCTTCCATTTTCTCTGCATAGTCTGAAACAAGGAGATATGTGATGAGGAGATCCATTCGGGAGTGGAAGTAAACAGATTATCAAATTTGTTGAACAGCTTTTTTGAAACGCTGACTCAGCTGGCTGTCATAACGAGCAATATAACCAAGTGTGAAAGCCACCAACGTTGCGGAGGCTCAGTCATTGGTGTGGTCAGAATATTTCAGGTAGGTTCTAAGTTCTAGTTCTAGACCTAAAGAATAGAGTTCCAGTGAGGAAACCAAAAATAATGACAAAGGCGTAGAAACAGGGGAAAAATTATTATGTTCCAGTTTGGAGTTGATAAATTGACTTTCGGCTCTTTACCTAACAATTTGCATTAACCAGAGAGGGTCATTAACGATTTTTAGAGCCAAAGTACACCTTGTACAACCAGATGTCGAAATAATTTTAGTTTCCTCCTGCACAGAGGTTGGAGCAATTCTGTTTTTATCAAAATGGCAGAGGATTTAATTTCGATTCAGTGCAGCAGTCTATGCGCTGCTCATGCAATGCATTTGTTAGGCTTGGATTTCTGTAATTGAGGCGTTGGGTGCAGAGAGGGCATTAATTGGCTACGGGGCTTCAGAATCTTCACTGCTAATTTATCCTTACGTAAGGTAACTATTGAGTGAATTTCCTGAAATACGACTTCAGCATCATGAGTAAAAGTCAAAAGAAATTACATAAATTTGCTTTAATCATAACAGATGAAGTGTTAGTAGAGATTTTGAGGCACCGCACCTAAGGAATGGTTTCTTAGCACCCAGCGCATCAATTGCCTTTCTTCTTACGTGCAACCCATCATTATTACATGTTCCCCCAAAAATACTTTTTCTTGATCTCCAGAATCCTTTTCCTTGATACTTTTCTTCATCTAGAAAAAACCTTTACCCAACAAAATCTAAGTTAAGAAAGCCCTTAGACCAGGGATTATCATTAGTCACAATGCTGTACAGCGGCCTAATGCAAGCATCACTTGCATACACTATTGGTATCTCTTAATGGGAAATGAATTCAACACATGGAAGCTGCCACTTTGACTCTTCCTGAGTGACATGATAAGAGGCGATAGTAGGATGAAAAGAAAACATTTTGCTCGTAATAATTGCACAGACTGCGAGTCTCATAAATTCACAAAATCAGTACACGCTTACCTATTTTCATTTGTTCAATTATTGGTTCAGTAGTAGGGTGTTTAGGAGGTACTACTTTACGATTTTCAGACAGAGCGTTCATAGCTCTTTGCTCAATGTTATATGTTTTCAGTACTCGCATGGCGTTTGATAAAAGTCCACCCATCCTAAGGTTTCGTTGATCATGAAGAACAGTTGCACCGAAGGTAAAATGTGATGCTATCAGACACAAGTTTCCCTCTTCATTACTATAATAATAAACTAACTAAGAACAAGGGCAGACAGGCATAATTAGTCTAAATAATCACTTTGAACTATCTAACACGAATTGCAATTGCAATTGCAAGCATGGTAAGGTAACCTAACCTCTTCAATCGAAATATTTATAAACAACGGTAGATGCTGAGTTGCCGCTTTTGGCAAATATAACGAATGCCGAATACGCGGGAAGTTTAAACTAGCGTTATGATGACATGAATAGTGAACTTTTATCCCTCTTAAAGAATAAAGTGCGCCAGAATATTTGCATGCATTACCTGTCAAGCATTATGTTTACCTTTCAAGGTATGAAAGGCTGGGTATGAAAGGCAGGTATGTCAAGGAGCCAATGTTGCCATTTGGATCTCATCCCTCCCCTCTCTCTCGGCTAATTACGTAAGTAAATTTTTAATTCCTGAAAATTATGATCCTATCAACCTAGATATTAGTTATAATCATTTTTCCTAGAAATTTTCAGGTACATTCCATTCAAATGCAACTACAGCCATCTGAAGATTTCCAAGGAAAATATTCAGAATTTTTCTAGACAAATCACGTTTTCGCATGATATTACTCTTTCAACCAAATCTGAAAGTGCTTCCTACTCTTTCTTTTTGTATCAAAGCAATAAGAACCAATGGAAATTCTGCTAATGAGACTAGGATAAGCATTTTCTCCGCCGTTTTTATTTGCTTCAAGTAAAGTAATATGTCACAGAACAAAACAATCTCACGATTCACAGCTAACCCGTTAACCGCTATTCGTAGCTGGTTGATCAATGGAACTCTTTCCACACCACCTTAGAGAAATCCTTTTCAAAATAATCAATTAACCCTCATCAAAACACGGTGATGTGCTTCAAATGATTGCGCTGGTCGGCTTTACGGCAGGTGCCTTCTGGTCGGAAATACGATTCGATCCCGATGAACTATTTTGATCAGAATTAATAAATGGTCTTGTCTTTGCACGCGATACAGCGTAAAGCACGTTCCACTGGTCCTCAGAGCGAAGACGTCAAGGTTTTTTCACAGTCTAGCTGTGAGAAAACTGTTGCATTGAAAACTGTTGCATTATTGTGCTCCGAACTTATTACTTACTGCATCACGACAATCCCGATGTGGAGACGTGGCAGTTTTGTAAACGCCTTCAACTGTGTTGCGATACCTCACGCATTCCGGAGAGCACGAATAGTTGTATCGTTGCGCCTTACCATTGCGAAGAAGATTAAAATTAAAGTAGCTTCCTTGGCATAGGCTGATCCAGGGGAGGGGGAACAGGGGGTGTACGTCCCTCCCTCCCCGTTCGCTCGAAAAAAAAGGTGGAAGAAAATGGGAAGAAAGAAAAAGGGGGTCAGCTCTGATAAGCGGTGTGCAGTGTACCGGTCGCTTTCGGCCGCGAAGCTCCCTTATCTATTCAGTGCATCTCACAGTGATTACAGTGACTTGATAGTGTGATACTCATGGATGACTGAAGTTTTTTATTTACTTGACCATTGAATCGGTGTCGATCGATTCACGTTGATCGATTCACGTTTTTATTTTTCGTCCGATTCATGTCGATCGAATACATACCCTCTCGTTGTATGCAGACTTCCTATCAAACTCTTTTTTCTAACTGAAGAATTCACCTTCAGCTGCGTCTGCAGCAATTGTTGTTACGAATATATTGTGCAGGCTGATTTTAGCACATTACGTATTTGACTCTCTGAAGGCGTCTCATGTGCGAGAGTAGAGCACCCACCTGGAGAACAACTACCAGTGAATGAATCTCTCAACCCCTACTTCGTTTGTTCTCCAACAGATCGCGCTACAGGTGCACATAAGAGTTGAAATCAGCATGCACAACATATTCTTAACAACAATTGAGGACACCACACCAAAAACACCCCATAGGCGTATAGGTCGTTATTACGCCCATCTGCCATCATTTTCTTCTAAATTATGTCAGCTATTCAAAACATTAACTAAATTTGGTACTTTTTCTCATGCGTAGCCGCTATATAAAAAAAACCGCCAAAAATAGCCTTTTTAGGCCATTTTTTTAAAAATGGCGGAAAATGCTCACCAGATCCGCAGTAGGAAACTTCAGATTCGGATTCAGCGACCCAAAAAACATAAAGTAAGCCAAAAAAATCGCTGTGTACCCGAAATTCCAGGTCGCCTCATTTTTAGCTACCAGGCGCCTGGACTAAATCCGGGTATCGGAACGTGGCTGTTTTGAAAACGCCTTCAAATGCGGCGTGATACCTCACGCATTCCGGAGAGTTAGAATAGTTGTATCATTGCGCCTTAGAATTGCGACGGCAGATTACAATTGAAATAGCCTTCATACACGCTAGTCTTGTCGATTTCCTTTGACATTTTTGCAGTGGTGAATGCATAGCTGAAGTGCGCTCGAGCTAGCATTGTATTTAGCAAATGGGTGGTTTTTATACGAGGATTAAAAATAAACAAGTGGTACGGAATATANCCGGATTTAGTCCAGGCGCCTGGTAGCTAAAAATGAGGCGACCTGGAATTTCGGGTACACAGCGATTTTTTTGGCTTACTTTATGTTTTTTGGGTCGCTGAATCCGAATCTGAAGCTTGCTCCCGCGTATCTGGTGAGTATTTTCCGCCATTTTGAAAAAATGGCATAAAAAGGCCTTTTTTTCAGCGGCCTTGTCGATTTCCTTTGACATTTTTGCAGTGGTGAATGCCTAGCTAAAATGCGCTTCAGTCTGAAGTGTATTCAGCAAATGAGTATTGTTTATAGGAGGATTGAAAGCAAAAGAATGGTAGGAAATAAAACATAATGATAAGAACTATTCAAAACGATAATCCGGGTATCGAAACTTGGCTGTCTTGAAAACGCCTTCAAATGAGGCGTGATACCTCACGCATTCCGGAGAGTTCAAATAGTTGTATCATTGCGCCTTAGAAATGTGACGGAAGATTACAATTGAGAACTCCTCACCAAGAACAGCCTATAGGCGTATAGGTCGTTATTACGCCCATCTGCTTTTTGGATTCTACGTACCCTGTACTACGCTGTGGTAGCGATAGAATATGGATGGGTAACGGCTCCCAACCTTTTTTTTCCGAAGTTAAGTCAGGCCTTTGGATCGATGGGTGCAAGAACGGCCTATAAACGGGCCTATAAGGTGCTAGTTACCCCTTCCTTTACTCAATATCGATATTCTTTCATTTTGCGTTAGGTAATCATGCGTGATTAAAATAATTTATACTTCATACTGTCACCAAAATGACTGTTGGGCGTAATAATGGCCTATAAACCGCTTTTTTAAATTACATATATGAGAGTATAAACCCAAAATGTATCGCAAAATCTACCCGGCATCCTTCAATAGATCTAAGGTTAGGTCACCCAAAAATACCAATACAGGGTACCTGCATGGAAAAGTCTGCGCAGTACATCAAACACAAAACTTTAAATGCGTTTTTTTTCAAACCGCGGTTTCCAGTTATAGGCTGTTCTTGGCGCGGTGTCCTCAATTGCTGCAGACGCAGCTGAAGGCGAATTGTTCAGTTAGAAAAGAGAGTTTGATAGGAAGTCTGCATGCAACGATAGGGTATGTATTCGATCGACATGAATCGAACGGAAAATAATAACGTGAATCGATTAATGTGAACCGATCGACACCGATTCAATGGAGAAATAAATAAAAAACCGGATCAAAATCAGAAAAAAACTTGCATTTACTATGAAAAATTTAAATTTCAATATTTTTAGGCCTATTTTTGATCGTATAGGATTAGCCAAGATTTTGATTTTGCGCGATTTTATGTCTACACGTACCATAGATTCACCCTCTGCAAACCGTTTTTGGGTACATTTTTTTCGCATTATTTTGCTTCAAGATCACAGTGACAAGTAAATAACACAAACTTACAATAATAAACTCACTTAAATCTCAAAAATAGAGACATGCTTAGCCTGAAGCAACTAGTATGTAACCCCTTACTCCTGAAAATTCGAGATAACTGCGTGGTGGATTTAAATCGGACCAAATTAAGATAAGCGAATACTAGTCCTTCGCCGCTTGAGTTTTTTTTGAATGACCAATTTAATTGAAGTTATCGTGATCAACAAACACAGCAATGGCAAGCTTCGTTTAATAGTGCCTTCAACATAGTAGATATACTTCAAATGTTACACCATTACGTATAACTTCCCCCGCCGAATAATATATATAGTACAGTGCATTTGAAGGTGTAAATGGTAAACCCACGCATATCATCTGGCATATCTAGATACGTCCCTTCAACTTGTCTTTGCGCCAGGTAGCAAGTCACGACTAAAATTCTCTGTTTGACTATTTTAGTATAGATGAATTGCGATTCGTCATTCTAGCAGGACAACTTTTTCAATCCTGAAACGATCGTGTCTTGCTAGCTTGTTTTCTTCTGTATTTTGTATTGTGTGTGTATGGCAAATTATCCGAATCGGTTGTAAAGATCTATTTCAATAGTAAACCCAATAAATTTTAAGCAAGTTTGCAAGATTTTCCCTCTCTATATGATGCCATATGTTAAAAGCGTGTTTAAACCGCCCTGAATTACAATGTCAACCTTAAGAGGCTTCTTTGAGGAAAATACTTGTTTGAGGAACGACGATGGATACGGCCTTGCGGACCATCAGTTGCCTCGATATCTGCTGTGTGTATTGGTTTCGGCGTTAGCGTTGGGTCTCGATGTACGTAAAACTGTCGTAAAGAAACAAAAATATCAATCTCTTCAATATATTCATGTCCAAATGTTTTGAAAGTAGTACATAAAACCAGGGCCGGATTAAGGGGGTGGCCTCATGAGCCGCGGCCCATGGCGGCAAATCTAGGGGGCGGCAAATTTTGCAATTTTTTTAAATGTAAGTATAAAAAAAACGGATTCAGAAAAAAAGAAATTACAAACGAAAAAAGGCGACCAAATTTCTCATTTCCTGAGAATATAGTAATTTCTAATTTTGTCGTCTTTCAGTGATACAAGTGACAGCACCTTTAATTAGTCGAGTTAAAAGAGAAACCAAACACGCAATTTGGCCTGGAACGGCGCGACTTGGAGAGAAATGATGACGAGGACTTGAGATGAAAATGAGAAGCCCTCGGCGCGGCGATTGATCGGCAT